CATCCTGGGAGCCTTCTGCGTCATTGCACCCGTCTACTTCAGCAACGTGTGGAAAACCGCTTACTTCCCCATTATCAGCAACGATGTTTTCGACGACACGGGCAACACGTACAATGTCACCCGCGTGCTGAACAGTAAGGGCGAATTTGACCTAGAAGGCTATGAAGGTTATAGTCAACCCTACCTGACGGCCGGGTACTCCGTCATGTTCTTTTTCTTCTTCGCCATGTACTTGGCAACTATCGTGCACGTCGCACTCTACAACCGGCGAGAGATCATGAAGGGATTCCGCACCATATGGAAATGGGGCAGTGCGCGAGAGGAGCACGAGGACGTCCACAATCGCTTGATGAAGCAATACAAGGAGGTCCCGGAGTGGTGGTACCTGGTTGTGCTGGCTGTCTCGTTCGTGTTCGGCTGCATCGGCGTCGCCAAGTATGACACCGGCATGCCCATCTGGGGTATCGTCTTCGCCATCATCCTCTGCCTCGTGCTGCAGATTCCATACGGCATGGTCTACGCCATAACCAACTCTGAGGTAACGAACAACGTTATTGCCGAGTTCATTGGAGGATACGCCATCACCGGCAAACCTGTCGCCAACCTCCTCTTCAAGGCATTCGGATATATCGCCTGTGCCCAGTCCGTCCAGTTCGTGGCTGATCTGAAGCTGGGCCACTATATGAAGATTGCCCCGCGAGTAATGTTCGCAGCCCAGCTGGTAGCCACCGTCGTCGGCGCATTTGTATCCCTTGGAGTAAATGTCTGGGCCCTGGCCAACATCGAGGACGTGTGTTCCACCACCCAGCCGGACAAGTTCACCTGCGCCGGTAAATCACCCTATCCCCACAATCTGATCTTTCCTCCCACACCGTCCCACATTCTCATTTACTGACCACATAAAATAGGCGCCCGAGACTTCTATACCTCCTCTGTAATCTGGGGCGCCATCGGCCCGCGGCGCCTCTTCGGCACAGGGCAGATCTACAACCCGCTGCTATACGGCTTCCTCGTTGGCGCCCTCCTTCCCATCCCCTTCTACTTTATCACCAAATGGCGCCCGCGCTCCTTTCTCCGATATGTTTATATCCCGCTGGTGTTCTACGGGATCTGCGATATCTCGCCGTACAATGTCACGTACGCGTGGTGCCCGATGGTGGTGGGCTTTATCTTCAATTATTGGATCAAGAGACGGTGGCAGGCGTGGTGGGAGAAGTACGCGTATGTGTTCACGACCGCTATGTCGTGTGGAGTGGCTATCTCCGCCATTATTATCTTCTTTGCTGTCGAATACAAGGAGGTCGATTTGAATTGGTGGGGGAATGAGGTCTCGTACGCGGGGTGTGATAATGATGGGTGTACGTTGTTGGCGATTCCGGAAGGAGGGAAGATCTGAGGTTGACTCTTTCTTTCTCTGGGGTTTTATTTGGTTTTTCCTCTGGTTATTCGATGAAGGAGATGTGTGTATGTATGTAGAGGATGATAGGAAGCAATAAGAGGAAGCATGGTGATGCACGTACGGGCAAAGATCCGAAGCAAAAAAGGTCAAAAAAAATGGGCGACACAATATTTCAGAGTCTAAGGCAAGGTCCTGATACGGATCGAACACGGAACCTCTCAACTAAGTGACATGAAAGACCCGACGCGAGTGATTAACCGTTAGACCACCCAGGTTTGCCCTGAGAAAGTGATATCGTGAAAGATTTATGAGTGGGCCTACTTGTCTTGGGTCACCGCCCTGGGCAGGCTGCAGCTTGTTGATAGTGAATGGATTCGAGGTCATGTGAGTCATTTTGGGAGTGGGTATGGTATTACTGCATGTATTGGTACCATATTCATCTGTAGCAGACTACATGAGCTGGCTGTATTGTAATTAATGATCTGGTAGGAGAAGGGGGGGAGGCCGTCTAGTAGATGCTAGCTACTGTATGGAGCGTGATAAGACCTTATAGAAAAGGGGGGTGCTGATATTATATGGCATCAGCAGTTTCTTTCTACTTGTATATATATGTTAGATGCGTTTCTTAAGGTGGTCCATTGCAATTGAACACCTTTTGTCAGGTTTCGTGCTCGAGTAACTGCCAAGTTATTGAGACTTTCAATCCGATAAATGGAAGGGACGGAACTTGACGATAAGCTTGATTGGGTTTTCACTAATTATACAACTTCTCCTCTCTAAGCCTCTCCAACCGTTTCAACTTCCCTTGGAGATGCCCGATCTCCTCCTCCAGCTCCCCCCTCGAAGCCACCCAGTACTTCAACTTCAATATCGCCGCAGAAATCAACAAAAATCCAATAGACACCAAGGGAGACCACTGTCCCACTTGCTGCGGCGTCTCCTGTGAGGGTCCATCTTCGTGGATATAATACTCAATCCACACCACAAAAGCAATGACCGTCAGCGGGCTCACAATAATGCTAAACACCAACGCACATAGGATTATAGTATCGAGAAGAAGCCTCAGCCACGAGCCTAAGGCGTGTAAGGTAAAGAGACCCCCGGTAGGTCTCCACACAGAGAGCTTCTCCCTCGTTGAATCCATCAAATCGGTTCGATGAAGTTGAGACACGTATATTGCGGAGCGGAAGTCCTTCCTTAACCCATTGAAGATGTTCTTCCTCTCGATCCAGATGCTGCGTACTTGAGCTGAGGGAAGACGTGATCGATACGGAAGAATCTTGAACAATAAGAGGAAGAAGTTCACGATAACAGTCAGGACTATGAGACTGTAGATGTAGCGTTTGGAGTAGACTACCTCGTCCCAAAATTCGCTCCGTTGGTGAACGCGGTAGTCCCCCGTGGCGACAGTCGCCTCAAGAGTGGTCTGTTGGCGCAGAATCTGCGTCGTGTTGAAGCAGGGATAAAAGCAAACGCCTGGTAACTGATCGAACATGGTGCTGTTGCTGAATATTTCCCAGACACTGTTGTTCCAGGTTGAGGTGCGCTGCCATGCCTCCCATCCATCACTAGAGACGGTGCCCATGGGTGGAAGATCCGGGTAGCAAAAGGTGTATTGGATAGGAGTGTCGCGGAGAGTGGGCCAATATATCAGGGCACAGATAGACCCTGCAAGCATGAGAACGTGCCATAAGCCGAAAAGGATATAACGAGCTCTTTCATGGGAGAAAGCACGCGACCAGCATTGAAGAGGCAGGAAGGTGAGGTAAGCTGTTACTACTATGGCGAGAACGGCGTCGGCATCTAGCTCAAGTGCAGCTGGACTCAGTTCAATGTGATCGGCCCCGGTGATTAGCGACGGGAAGCTGTTCCATAGCGAGGTGTTATCGGAGACTAAGGGGATTGTTATGAGCTCGTGGGGATTGTGTTTCGCCGGATTGGAAACGAGAATGAAGGCTTGGATGGCGGCGGTTCCGGCATATGTTGCTGCCGCACCCAGGAAGACGTCTGCGAGCCAGCCGGTCCAGCGAGTGACAAAAGTGGCTAGAAGGAGGGCATAGAAGAGATAACGCGGACACGAGTCGTAGAAGGTGCTGATGGGGTAGGCGCAGATGACCTCTTCCACTACGAAGAGAGGCGTCTCGCTTGTCTGGCTCATTCCAATGTGGCTGGTTGCATCCTCGCCAGGTATCAGTGTGTAAAATGTTCTCTTCGCACTCCCAGGAGCTGCCGGATTTTACCGATCCCCCCAGGGGGTGAATCTCGAAGAACAATTAAGGTTGATGGTTGAATCCTAACCCAAGTGGGTACTCGTGATGTCATCACCGCCGGCAGAACTTCAATCAGCCCTATCACGGAGACTATGCAGGCATAGGTTCGTAACCAGGTTCGGAGACATTAATTTCTGTTATTAAGCATTGGATTCGAAGCCATCCGACCGATTGTCCTTCTCTTATCTCACCCACAAGGGTGCTCGGAACAAGTACCGCCGAACGAATTGACCAGACTCACAGTAATTGGAGCGTCCGTGAGCAGAGCCATTACAGCGGGATCATTTGACAGTGGATGAAGAAACTATTTAACCCAGATATGGTTCATACATAAATTATATAAAGATTATATATAGCTTAGAGAGAAAGATTCAAGTGGGATTATTTGAGGTTTTACTTATAATGATGTTCTTCATAATGATTATCTTGACGATCGTATATAAAAATAAAAGTGTAAAAGTAGCGGGATTTGAATTCGTGATTACCAAATCTAACTCGCCCAAAGTTAGTCAGTCCTCAGATTCAGGGCGACAAATTGTAGTTAGTGCACCTCTTTCTGTTCACCATTTTGACCACGAAGAGAAGAAGAAAGAGAAGAAGTTCTTAAAAATAAATGAAAGGAAAGAAAAACATATTCAAAAAAGGAAGGTACAAGGCCCGAGCCGCGGATCGAACGCGGGACCTCTCGCAGATATGCTTGGGTTTGTATCCCTAAGCGAGAATCATACCACTAGACCACCCGGGCTTGTTATGAGCAAATTTTGTAACAATGAAAAAATATGCCTTACTCGTGGCTGTTTAGTTAAAAAGTCAATCATTAAGTTAGGTCTGCTTGAAGTTTGGAGGATAAAGAAATTTATGGGCAACAGCTACAGAATGGTGCTTGCTGTACAATTGAAGGTATGTTCATGAACGACATCCTCGCTATCACCCGTATTTTGCGTACGTTTAAGCGTCACTTTGGCCTTCTATAGTGAATTACTTCTTAGATGCAACTAAAGGTACTCTCAATATTCTAAGTCCATAGAGCTCACAGAAAATTACAAAATTGTGGTCCTGCGAGCCTTACGAGCGTAGCTTTAGGCACTGTGAATTGGGTAAGCTAGCATCGGGGTTTGAATCGCAAATGGATATGAATAACATAAGAGGGGAGCATATGCATATCGGAAGCCGCAGTATGCGGAAAGGGAATCCGCAGCGGAAAAGGCCCGCTCACCTGGAAAATCACGAGATCTCCCAACTTACCAAGATAAGCTCTTCGCAAAACGTCACATGACCCTATAATGCATATGTCGGAACAGGAAAGACAGGGGGGCAGCACTTACACGACACTCCGTTATTCGACGGGCAAAGCCAGCATTTGCCTACCTGCCAGGCTTATATTTACACACATAATGAATATATAGTTTGGCAGCCCACTTTCATTGGCATTCATCAATATAGATGGACGAAGCAGAGATGCAGTTATCACCAGTCGACAACGAACGACCTCACGTTGTCGCGAAGCGCCCAACCCCCGAAGAGCCAGATGCTGGCCCTGGTGCCAAAAGAACTAAAATCTCCGATGATGGCGAGTCACCGCCGATCAGAAACCTTCCCGCGGAAACCCGAATTGTTCCTTTTCCAGAGAAAGTATGCTCGGATTTATGGAAATGTGTTGAACCCATCTGACCGTCTTGAAGCCTGCAGTTGTAGAAGAACGGAATGGTGAGATAGAACTTTGGGTCGTCAACAATGATGGTTCCACGGAGAGTACTGTCATTTTAACAGGCCTCAAAAATCTGTTTCAAAAGCAACTACCGAAGATGCCCAAAGATTACATCGCCCGTCTAGTCTATGATCGTACTCACCTATCTCTGGCCATCTGCAAAACGCCTCTTGAAGCTATTGGCGGAATCACTTTCCGAGAGGTCCGACATCGCAAGTTCGCTGAAATTGTGTTCTGTGCGGTCTCATCAGACCAGCAGGTAAAGGGATATGGAGCGCATCTCATGGCCCACTTAAAGGACTACGTCAGGGCCACATCCCCTGTGATGCATTTTCTGACATAAGCTGATAACTATGCTACGGGCTATTTCCAAAAACAAGGCTTCACCAAAGAGATCTCACTTGATAGGTCCATTTGGATTGGCTATATCAAGGATTACGAGGGCGGTACACTCATGCAATGCTCTATGCTCCCCCGAATACGGTACCTTGAAGTTGGTCGTATGCTTCTTAAACAGAAGGAATGCGTTCTAGCTAAATTACGCCCTTTGAGCAGAAATCACATCATACATCCGCCCCCTAAGCCATGGGCTAACGGCGCCGTCACTCTGATTGATCCACTCTCCATTCCTGCTATCCGGGCTACTGGATGGTCTCCGGAAATGGACAAGCTAGCACGGGAACCCCGACATGGGCCTCATTTCAATGAACTCCGGCGGTTGCTTAGCCAAATCCAAGCCCACAAACAAGCTTGGCCCTTCCTCTCTCCAGTCAACAAAGACGAAGTCCCGGATTATTACAAGGTCATTGAATCTCCAATGGATCTATCGACAATGGAAGAAAGATTGGAGAATGATTCATATTCTACCCCGAAAGCCCTTGTCGACGATCTCAAGTTGATCTTCCGCAACTGTCGGCAGTATAATGATGCAACAACCGTCTATTTCCAAGTGCGCATCCAAGCTCGAGAAATACATGTATTCTCTAATCAAGGAGATACCGGAATGGTATGACTTACTAAAGGATTGACGCTTGCGCCTCAATTGTTCTACTTGATTTCAGCCTACCACTAAGTCATTGAAGTAGAGTCTTGCAAGGTCCGGTTGGTAGCTGCATTGCTGGGTGTAGGGCGGTACAGGCCATGAACTTAACGAGGCAAAAAAGACTGTAAAAAGTATAAAAACATACAACAGAAGGGATTCGCTGGTGGTCACCCACCCAACTACTAACCTCCCGGCGTGTGGCTTAAGTACGGCTGAGCAGACGGGAAGCCCTGTTTTCCACACCCTATGGTCGTATGTGCTTGTTTTACTATTGGAAGCCCTTATATACTGTATCCTATATTATGGTGCAAGAATATATAAGAAAATAGAAGATCAGATACCGAGCAATATGCAGATTCAGGTTTAGGAATCAACTCGCGCCAGAGCATGTGAATCACATTCCGCGCTTGATTTACATCCGTATCTATCCCGATTTCAAATCCAATTCATACTGTTCTCATTGTAAAAGAGATCCTAGTTTCTTCCGCGAAGATACCTCATATCCAGCCCGTGCTGAACTTAATGTTTCTGCTAACATGAGTTTCCGAGTATATTTTTATATAGCACTTGAAACCGCATTGCTAGATACTACACATTGATGAACTATCACGACTATCTATGTCTCCCGAATGAGCACAGCCCTATAGCGCACCTTTCCATCTCTCAACTGGCTCATCGCCTCTTCTATGCCAGAGCTAGTGAACGGAAAGGTCATTATAGTTGGATAAATCTGCTTCTTCGCCGCAAACTCGAAAAGTGCCTGTGTACTCTGACGGGAAGCAACCAAGGAGCCCTGGATCTTACAGCCCTTGAGGCATAGCTCCAATGTAGGAATCGGGGAGGGCTCAAAAGTTGCAGTCAGGGGATAAATAGCACTAGGGCTATCCATGAGAGGTAGGATTCTGTCCACAACGTATCAGTCATATGCCCTGCGCATGTAGCACCACAAGGAACAACAAAGTAACTCACGAAGAATACTTCACACCAGCACTCCCACAAAGCAAAAGATGCTTCAATGGCTTAAATGACTGGAGAGGGCTTTCCGCCCGAAAGACATGGTATTCCGACGCGCCGTACTCCATAGCCTCTTGCCTCTTGGCCTCGGAGCTCGAGAGCACGACGACATGGTACCCCATCGCAGCAGCTAGCTTGATAGCCAGGTGACCGAGGCCGCCCACGCCCTGTATGCCAACTCGATCACCAGGGCGCATGTCGAACCGTGTCAGAACAGTCCATACCGTAGCCCCTGCGCACATCAGGGGTGCGGCATGGGCCGTTTCTATCTCGTCCGGGATGCGAAATACGCAGTTTGCGTCCCAGACGGCGCCGTAGCTGAAGCTGCCGTTGTTGAAATCGTTTGTGCCGTATTGCTTCTTTTCTCGGCAATATTGGTCCATATCTTTGACACCCGGGCAAGGTTCGTCAGTATACTTCCAAGTTATAACAAGTCATGAAAGCGATAGTTGTATAGATATCTTACCTTTCGCGCAGTTATCGCATCGCGCACAGATCCCATGAGTGAAACCAAATCCCACGCGGTCACCAATTTTGACCGTCCGCACGCCGGGCCCGATGGCCTTGATGATACCCACACCTTCGTGGCCCAGGACTTGGCTTGTCTTCAGGTAGTGTTCATCTGTTCCGCAGACGCCGGATGCAAGGGTCTCGATGAAGACTTCGTTGTATTCGAGGTCGCTAGAGACTTTGTCGCTGACGATCTTGCCCTCGGGAGAGCCGCGGAAGACATCGTAGGTTAAAGCCATGTTATTTCTGAGAGACGCGTTTGAAATAATGATTCAATAGGTAACAGAAGTGACGGATGGATAGGAACCTGGCTAGGTATCTTATATACCACTTTCTCTGCCTATTCACTTGTTGCGGAGATATTCTCCGCTGCGGGTTTTATTGTCCGTCCCCGCCTGCCATACATTGCGGGTTTTTGATCCGTCTCACCACCGTCAACTGTCTGACAAGCAAGTAGGTAGCTCACGAGACTGGAGAGGCTCTAACGAGAGAGCTCCACTAGTCAGATGAGCAAAAGTGCATATTTGGAACAATGGATGACTACTAAACTGAATATAGTTAGTTTACGATTGATGTTGTGTTTGGACCAGATAGCTGACTAATCCCTATCATGACTTCTCAGAAAAGAATGTCTTGGACAATCATCACCAACAATAGCATGTGTACGCTAACCTTCGATCATTATTTCGTCACTATTTACATGATATGACTGCTATTACTGGTTACGATAATGCAGAGTGAAAGAGTACTTCCAGCCCGACATGCCCGACGTCGGACGGCACCCCGAGGCCGGATCATGACGGCGTGTGCTCGGTGTCAGAAACGGAAAATTCGCGTGAGTGCGCTGATGGCAGACGCTGGCTTATTCTATCATTAAAACTAATCCAATGACGTCTTCTAGTGCGACGGAGTTACTCCCGTCTGTGGGGGTTGCCAGCGAGCCCACGTGGATTGCGTTGAAGGAGTTTCAGTCCGTGACATTTCCCGAAAGTAAGCCAGCTTATCATGAATCCGAACGGCCTGCTTAGACCCACACACTAATATAGTATTTCAGTTACGTCGATGAGCTAGAAGCGCGAATAGAATGGCTGGAGTCCATCATCCGGGAGCACCTACCATACATTGACCTCCAGAAACCTGATGAGCCTGAGAGAAGTGTTCCCTTGGATCGTCGTCGTGGCTCGGTCTGCAGAGGATCGAACCCTTCCTCTGCTCCTGAAGCACATACTTCCCAAATTCGGAATGACAAGGATGACTGGGGCCCAGCGCGTGACATTACGGATCAACTTGGACTGGTCTCGATCAATGCAGAGGCAGATCTTCGATATTTAGGCCCTTCCAGCGGGCTATTTTTTACCAGGTTCGTGCTAACCGGCCTTGGACGACGAGCCGGATTGGCACAAGAATCAGTTCCCCCAACCGGAGGAACCAACTTCATCCCTGCTGAGCTTCTCGATATTCAGCCCAAAGGTCTTCCATCTGACCTAAAACAGGCCCAGTGGTTGACACAGGCGTATTTCCAAGCAGTCCATGGGCAATTTCCGTTCCTGCATCGACCATCTCACCTGGACCTTCTGCAAAAGGCTTACAATGGCATCGAACTCCTCCTGCCCATCGATCAATTCCAGATCTACATGGTCCTGGCTATTGGGGCCACTATCCGATCGCAACAAGTGAAGATACTTCTATCTGCAGAAGGATACTGTGCCTCGGCGATAGTCCATTTAGACACCATTTTCCAGAAATCGTCGGTGCGCGGCGTACAGTGCATGCTGCTTTTGCAGATGTACACATTTCATAATCCTTCCTCGACGATCAGCCTGTGGACACTGCATTACCATTGTCTGGCTCATGTGTTGGAACTTGGTTTGCATCGCAATGTTCGAGGCTCTGCTTTTACCGAAGTCGATCAGGAGATGCGCACCCGGGTCTTCTGGTGCGTTTATACAATGGATCGTTACCTGTGTACTTCACTCGGTAGAGCAATAGGTATTATGGATGAGCAATGTGATCTGAGGGTATCTCGCGTCTTCCCCTACAACCTATATATACGATAGAAGATGACTGCTAATAGTCAATCTAGCTACCACACGACATCAACGACGAGGACCTACAACCAGACCAACCGATTCCAAATCAACCCTCTACACCAGGGATAACCGACATGTCCAGCGCGATCCACCTCTTCAAACTCGCTCGCTTCAACGCTGAAATAAAATGCGTTCTATATTGCATCGACCGAAATTACCCCCCTTACACGCAACCCACCATCACAGACCCCAACCAGTGGCAGCTTGATATACTTCACCGTCTACATCAGTGGAAAGCAACCATCCCTCAGCATCACCCACAAAGCCCATCATACTATCTAAACAATCTGCTCGCGATCAGATACTATGAGTTAGTGATGTTGGTCGTACGCCCAAGTCCTCTCTTCCCATACCCGTCCAAAACCTTGATTAGGTTTTGCTTTGATTCCGCCCTGGAATGCACAAGGCTTTACCGCCAGTTATACATTACCAGCATGTTGCACTATAACCGGACGATTGTGCAATCGCTGTTTCTATGCACGATCAGTATATTTTATTGTATATGGGCACCAAATGGATTAGAAGAGGAGAAAATCACCCTCGAAACCGTCTTACCTGCCCTAAAGTCCGCTTCGGATATCCTCAGCGCCACCGGGGAATATTGGCTTGAAGTGAAACGGACTCGCGATGTACTGGATTGTATCACCAGGGCTACGGTAGGCCGGTTCTCTAGGAGGCTTGGTGAATCATCGGCATCGATTCCATCAGGAAGTAACGGGACCTTGCACAATAATATAAATAGTCAAGGGGTGTCGACAATGGACTTGCCTACAACTACCTTGAATGATGGGTCGTGTACCGATGGCATCACTGGTAATGGTAATGCAGGGCCGTTCTCGGAAGATCCCTACTATGTGCCGGCGCAGCAGCCTGATGCTACAAGTGAGCTTTTGTCTTTTTTCATGGATCCTCAGCCGGAGTCGGCGATGGAGTTGTTGGATTTCTCATGGGATGTGTTTGGTGGGGTGGATGATGCAATGCAGGAGATGATGGCTGGTGCTTCAGGAGAGAGATGAGATTCGGGATTGTGGATTATTGACATTTCGTGCGTAGTCATAGTATATACCGCTCAGTGTTGTGCATCTAAGTTGCTTTGTGAGCCTCTATGCTGTTTACATTTTGAGGAGATTCTTGTTGCCTCAGGTGTTCACTTCAGCTGTAGTGGATGCCTCAGGCCGGTGTACCACGGGGTGTAATTTGGCCTAGTCTCTGCCTAGCCGCTGTGAAGCCAGGTTTCTTGCATGGTTGCAAAGTGAGGTCTCCGTCTCTTGATATGAATGTTGTTGTGTTGTAGAAAAAAACAGAATTCCGTGAGACGGTATATTATGATGCCATGTCAAGTCACTGTATAGACGACCCTCGCCATTATCGTAGGCTGTGCAATGCTATTACCCCATCACTTCGTCTCCATTATTCACACATTATCATGATTAATTAAGTAAGATATCTTCATCCCTCTTTGGGCATTGCACTGCTAGTCCCTTGATTGTCCTCGACCTCGCTGGTATGTGTCTTATCCGCGGTTTCAGTGGTCGTAAGTTTGTCATCCTTGGTAGGGTCGCTGCCGCCAAAGACGCCTTGCATTTCTTCGAGAGAGTAGTTGGAGGTCTATTCCTTGTTAGCAAATTCATCAGTAATACAGAGTGGGGCATAAGACGAACCTCCTTCAAGAAAATGAATGAATACACGACGATCGCGTAGTTGAAGATCGCAAACATAAGAAACATCCTCCATCCAATATTTTCAATCGCATGCGGGGTCACTTGCGACATCATGAAGTTGAAAAGCCATTGTGAGGCTGCGCCGACGGTCACACCGATCTCACGAGTGCGACTCGAAAATATCTCTCCCACGTATAGCCAGGGAAGGGGACCCCAAGACATGTTGAAACTGAATGCTTCACAATATGTCATGATGATCATGGCGATTCCAGCTGGCGAAGCGTTTCCGGTGTCGCTGGAGCTGGTTGGATGTGTGGCCAAGATGCAGGCAATGATGAGCATAAACGACCCCATCGCGGCGGCACCAACCATGAACGGCCATCGCCGACCGATGCGATCCATAACGAAAATCTGGAAGACCGAGACACCAACTACTTTTACCACACCGAAGAAGCCAGTCACCAGCTTACTTGAATTTCCTGCACCCACGGCGGAGAAGATCTGAGTGGCATAGTAAGCCAGGGACGTGTTTCCCGTAAGTTGCGCCGCTAGCTGGATCGTAAAGGCGATGAACAACCGATAGCGATTTGCGGGAAGCAGCAGTTCCCGGAAGGTGAAACCTTGCTTAATCCGAGCTTCCTCCTCAATACCAGCCAGAATTTCATCAAATTCTTGCTGGAGCTCCTCAGTTTCTTCACCACCTCGGACCCATTTGAGAGACTCTCTAGCCTTATCAATTTTGCCCTTAGAGGCGAGCCACCGAGCGCTCTCTTTAACCGTGCACATACCGAATAGGAGAAGGGACGAGGGGAGAAGCTGCAGGCCCAGTGCGATCTGCCATTGCTTTGTTGCGGATGGCTGGTCTATCGACACAGCGTACGTGACCCAATAGGCGACCATGACTCCCAAAGCGAAGAACAGCTGGAAGCAAGACCCGAGTCGGCCACGTAGATCCTTAGGAGACATTTCAGCTGCATACACTGGAATCAGCACCGTTGCGGCACCAATGCCGAGACCAGCTATCACTCGACCAGCATAGAACGTGCCCAGAGTATGCGAGTTGACGACCTGCAAGATGGTACCGACGGTGAAGACAAGGGAACTGATGATGAGGCCGAGCCGGCGGCCTAGGTAGGATGCGATGGGTGTGGTGAAAAAGCAGCCGAAAAAGGCGCCTGCTTGGAGGATCGAAACGGCATTGGAGTTGACCGAGGTTTTCTGAGCGACCGTGTATCCGAAGTCATTCTGGAAAGAGGGCAGCGTAAGAACACCGCCTGGCCATTGTCTGGTTAGCTCGACGTTGCATATAACAAATAATCAGGGAGCGTAGCGTACTAATAACACCAGTGTCGAATGCAAAGGCGAAAGAGCCCATGCAACTAGCAGACACCAGATAGATAGCCCGGAAGAGGCCCAATTTCCGACCCATTGTGAGAAAGACTGGTCCTCAAAGCAACCGATTTCGGTGCGGTTTAGGAGCAGTAAGAGCCGATTTGGGAAGTAAGGGGGACAGAGAGCCAAATGACCTGTCAGTGCCAGCACTGATATTTAAGATGATCAGGCCAAAATCTCGGTGGCTCAGCTGGCAGACCCCTGTTGTTGCGTGATTCGCGCTTGCGCGTGCTACACGGCAACTATAAGCTTCCGCGGGATATAACAAGTAATGGACTATCCCGTCAGCTGTGGCGCCCGCAGCTAGGCCCCTTGCTTTTGTGCAATCAGATGGCAGGTATGCGACGTCCGTGCGAAGATCCTTTATATTGACATATCGATGAAAATGGTCATCAGGCAATAAACCCCCGCCCGGGGGCGCTCGACTGGAGCACTAGCGGAGGGGAGGGCGGCCAAGTCCGGACGTCAGGCTCTGATGTCTGCGACTCTGCGAAGATGGTTGGTTCCGGATGGGCAACAGCTGGTGCGGATGACGTGCTAGCCATCTGTGACGACACGGCTCGCGCCCTAGAAATCGGAAAATAGAGACTGAGTTTGAACATCGGTGAAAGCTAGGTCGCAGAGCAGATCTATAATTGCTTTTTGTATTGCTGATTCTTTGGCCCTCCTTTCCGCCAGAGTCTCCGACATCTAGATGAGACAGCTGGGGTACATTGAGATCTCGATATGTCGCACATGGTGAAGGGCTAGGGATCGGTACCCCGCAAAATGTCGTGATGATCGACAGCGGACGGGGTGTGAGAAGATGCGACCATTGGTGGACTGAGCGACGAGGGATCAAGCCAGTCAGCATGCACTCCATTCAACAATTATGGGGACTTAAGGTTACTTCGACTTACTGGCTGGCCGCAATCGTTTCCTACAACTCGTAGCGGGGCCACTGGTGGTCCCTCGTCGGTTGCATCCTGTCCAGCATCATCGACCATGGTAGTATCCAAGGTCTAGCAGGACTGGAGGATGTCTGTATACAGATGGAGTCACGATCGATAAGGCAGCGCCCAGCCCAGATCGACGCTGGAGGAGAGACGGAGCAAATGCTTCCTTTCCCAAAAGGGTCTGGACGTGCTCAGTCATCTCCATAAATGGTATAGTGCAGGATTCTCGATCACATGTTCTCGAATAGATGATGTAAGCACTAGATTATGTCATTGGCTTTGCACATCACGTGAGAATGTAAGACGAGTTATTCCTAAGGCATCAGGGCAAGCACAATCTTTCATATGCAGACTGTGTCATCTTATACCAACATGCATTAACTAGTTAGTTACTATCAGCTAATATCTTAGTAAGCGGAACTGTGACTAGTTACCAGATTTACACTAAAGAGGAATCGCCAAGTTCTCCTTCTAGCCAACATACTAGCATTCCAGTATAGGAATCTCTCGCTACCTCGGTTGAAGAACCCGCATGCTCTTGATTACATAGTCTCTCATGATCTCATCATTCTTCTGCTTATTGACATATTGTTTCTTTATTTTAGATCCATTTACACATGTCTGAAATTGTAGGATGATCCACACTAACACAGCACAACAGTCCGACGTTAACAACCAAGGAGAAGACACCATCACAAGCAAATACAACCATCACGGACTTGTACGGTGTTTCTTCCTAACCGGGCAATCATCCCAGAGCCCTGACGTCGTTCAAAGCGCAGGTAATGGCCATGGCAGTCGCAAATGAATCAGTCGCTGGACCGGGTTAGTGATCGACATGATTGTCGAGCGGCCGCGGACTCCCTCCCCATAATGGATGGGTAGGATCTACACGTGGCAAGTTAGTGTGGACGTTTGAAACGAACCGTTGCAACGACCAAGATCATTGTCCATATTTTGAGTTATGATAAGAGTTCAAGACATTCTGATGCATAGATAAGCCTGAGAGGCTGGAAGTAGGTTGGTCTACTCTGATGTGTGCCTTTGATCGATCCAGCCGCCACACACGGAGCTGGCACCAAAACTACCACCACCGCCCTTTCCCTTCCCGACCAAAGTCACAATTTGTGGACATCCAGCTAGTAAGGCACTACGGTACTTTTATCCAGGGGTCTACAACTCTCCCAGCGAATTCCGACCACTTGCATAAACGCCAAATGCCAGATAAGGGACTTCGATCAGCCAGTCATATCCGAAGTGCTGCCCGCCAGGACCTCATGGTTGACCGTTCCCGATCTGGCCCAAAAATTGGTCGATCTTGCCTTGATTCACAGAAATGGGTGGAGTTTCTGGAGTCGGCATCGACACCCAGTCAGCTGAGGCCGGATCCACTCCCGTTCTCTTGAACCGCGGTTCATGACTGAGACAGGTCTGGACGTCTCTGGGTGTGCGACTCGCTTTCCCGACGTTCGGATGCTTGCCTAATGTAGTGAGGACTGAGTCGTTTAGCGATGAAGGACGACTATGGTCCAGCCGGCCAAGCGCACTATTGAGGAGTGGGATATCTATAGCCTGCTTCCTCGCTCACCGTAAGCCCGGATCGATGTCTCACTCCGGTACGCCGACCGACAAGAAAATAGGCACGGTTCCCGGCGATGGCAAACCTGCCCAACCGAGTAATTCCTCCGGTGTCTAATGATGGTACAGAAGCACGCACTCCCGACAGGGAGCTGTGGAGAGATCTCTGGAGAAGAGGGTACTCTGTAGATACAAAGGAAAACTTTGGGTCCGGAGAATAAGTGGGCTCCGCAAAATGATATACGGCACACAGTAAATGTCTGAACTCATTATATGGCATTAAATAGCAGGACAAGTTGGCGTAACTCGTGAGCATGCGTTTGGCTGTCTAGAGTGAGACAGATAGTAGTAGAGGTAGTATAGAAACAAACAAAAGAAACATGTGCGCTATGAGCGGCTAGTCCGGTCACTACCCCAGCGGCTGCCCTTTTGGTTGGACACCACCGAGATCTCAACCTGCTTCTTAATCCCCCGCCCGGACTCCACCATCGACCCCGAATGGTAGCTATCCTTAAGGATCTGCTCGATACTGTCGCAGTCATCGCGGTTGTCCGTACTGGGTTGCTCCTGCGCATGAGACTGAAAGGTGCCGTTCTTCGCGGTTCCTTTCTGGCCGGAGAGCGGACCACTGAGTTCGTAGGAGCGAGAACGCGCCGCACTTGAAAGCTTTCTCACAGACGAGATAAGCAGAGGTCGGATGCAGGGCACGGAGGAGGTGATGATAATGATCAGATTCTCCGAAAACCCCCAGCGAATCAGCTCGACCGCACCGCCGGCACCGAGGTTGGTGATGCTGGGGACTTCCTTGAGTTTGGTGGTCTTGATGATCGAGGCGACCATAGCACTAATTCCATGTAAGCTGACAGGCCAATAAGTGGAGCCGTTGATATACTGACACTATTCCGAGACTAAGCAGGATAATCAAACTGATTTTGATCCGCAGCTTCAAGTTTAAGTTCCAAAAAATAATCGTGGGAAACACCGCGAGGAAGAGATCAGTAGCAGAGTTGACGGCTAGATACACCTGACGTTAGCCATACATCCCAGTTGAGACGGCCAGTGGATGGCAAGGACCTACTTGACGAAAAGTAAGAGAAGTTGACCACCGCGACACTACTACCACATGTTGTCTTCACGGTCGGATCCCAAAGAACCCGAGCGTTGCGGCAGATGGAAAGTGGCAGCACCGCAGAAACGATGTTGGCGCTGAGCTGCAGCAACATGACAATCCATAATGCGACACAATACTTTTTCTTTCCACCGAGGATAGCCAACAGGTAGAGGACAAATGATGAGCGGGCGATGCCGGTGCTGAGGGTGACAAGGAGTACCTCGAAGGAGATGTATTTCAGCACCTTCGAGGTGTAATGGAACGGGAGTTTGGTGAGATTCGTGCCGAAGCCATTTTGGACAGAAAGCGTCAGGATGACCGTGGATGCGAGTGTCAGTGCCTGAAACACAGATGGTCAGACATGCGACGAAAGGGCCCATGGTTAGTGCGGGGAGAGGGAAGGGCGATTAGTTACCCAGGCTATGATCATCAACACATCGTCAATGCGAAAGTTGCGAATCTTGATCTTCGCAATGATTCGAAGAATGAGAATAAAGGTTGCTACTGCAACTGCAGCCCACATGCCCCTTTCCAGGGCCAGTCCGGAAGGGTTGGTTATGTTGGAACCCATCACGAAGGGCAAAGGTCCGCGACGATAGAGGTCATTCTTTGGCAGAACAGATGCGACCACTCAAGTATATTTATTTTATCGTGAAACTAACTTGGCTTCCCACAAGATTTCGGCACCAGGGGAATTATACTTTCTGAGTCGCCTTAGTCCTGATGACTGCCGACTGGACAGGTTCGTGCATGGCTGGGATATTGGATCCATGGTGCAGATAACATAATATTAGGGAAATTTGGTCCTTCCACCCATCCAATTCCTGGGTGCTCCGGCTACCCGACGGACAAATCTCGCGAAAGACAGTGGAGACTATTGTCCCAGTTGGTCAGGGCAATTGGACAAAGCTTTCCCCAATAGGCAGACGTCGCCGGGGAAAAGAGTCCCAGAGTCTGAATAATCCAACCCTACTACTGGAATCCTGGTGGCGCTTAGCGTGCAGCAGTGGATGCATTCGCCACGAGGTGAACAGGGGTCGGCTTCATCCTTGTTCATTTCTAGAATGCAACCAGGATTCTCACTTGCCGGTACTCCAATTTATTGGGATACCTGCAGCCGGCACTGAAGATAATCAAATGACCGTTATGGCCTTCCCACTTTCTGCAGATCTACCCATGCCCTACGGGGGAAGATAGAGAGATGATCCCTTGCTCTAAGCTCACCATGGACAGCGACCGGTACGGGGACCCTCACGTCTGTCTGCTTGAAATAATGGTGGGTCGTTGTCAAACTCTGAGGAAAAATTTCTCAGCTTGTTCAAGCCACATTCCAGAGTTGAGAGATGCCGCAGCCAGCACACCCAGGAACAAGCCTTTGGCGTTCTTGGTCTTGGTCGCAAAGTAAAGTTACGTACACCGGCAAGGGGGAGGGAAGGGAGATTTGAATTAAAACAAAAATAGGAGCAACTGAAGAGACCAGAAATATTAGCGACAAGTTCTTTCTATCTCAGACCACGGAGGAATCGCTAGCAGGCACCGAAGCAAGCCGAAGGAGTCAGTCAGCAGCGTGTGAAGGATTCGGCACCGTCTGTTCGTGGACGAGGGCAAAGACAAATCCCCGGAACATCCGCGGTACTCATTTTTAGACGCACCATCGGCCAGCTGCCAATAAAACGGTTAGCACAGCTCCACTCCGTCCGGTTCCAGTGCTCGCCGAAAGCCTAAATCCTGCCCTCTGGAGTTGCATGGTGCCATTCTGATCCAATACTACGCCTCATAGCCAATCTAGCGAGCGGGGCCCGAAATTACCTGGAGCAAGTGCCACTGTCCCATCGCCCAACTGGAAGCCGTTCTCCGATCGTGTGTGTGCCTGGACGATGATTCCGGCCCCTGTGTCAGCCAGATAACTCACTAAATCTATCCCAAATCCATCCACACCTCTTGCCTCGGCGGCTCGGCCAGTTCCTGGCCATCGCTCTACTCCGTAGTATCTCTTCCACTACCCAGCGCCCGGCTAATCCGCGGTGGTAGAATTATCCACTGCTTGCTCCGCGACTTTACGCACTTGGGGAACATGTCCGATGATAGCTGAATAGCCTCCTCCTGATCTTGAGATACGGCTGCCTGTATCGATTTGCATATAAAGTACGTTTCCCTCAGCAGGGATCGTCACTTTATTCACTCAATCCAGTCACTTCCTTTCTTCCACCCTCTCCTTCCTTCATTATCTTTGCAGGATGAAGGCTTCCTGGTCCTTTGCGGCAACCGTCGCTGCTCTCGCCTCCAAGGCTGTCGCTTCTAGCGACTGCCACTGCCTGCCCGGCGATAGCTGCTGGCCTTCGACCTCCAGCTGGGACTCCCTCAATAGCACTGTGGGCGGTCGCTTGGTTGCGACTGTTCCCATTGGTACTCCTTGCCATGACCCTAACTACAATGGCGCCGAGTGCACGAACCTGCAGGACAACTGGTACTACCCGCAGACTCAGTAAGGCACCCCCTCCTCCACTCCCTAAACTTTAACCATGCTGACGTCAGACAATCTCAGCTTGGTCTCTTCTTCTTCTGTTATGCAGCCCTACTTTGCCAACCAGAGCTGCGATCCTTTCCAGCCTGAGTCCCGGCCCTGCCTGCTTGGCAACTACGTGAGCTACGCTGTCAACGTCTCCACGACTGATGATGTTGTTGCTGCGGTCAACTTCGCTAAGGAGAACAACATCCGTCTCGTGATCAGGAACACCGGTCATGAGTAAGTTCTGCACTATTCCTCTATATCATGTAGGATGGTGTGCTAATCCATATCATAGTTACCTTGGCCGTTCCACTGGTGCTGGTGCCCTGGCCATCTGGACTCACTACCTGAACGACGTCGAGATCACCGAGTGGTCGGACTCCACCTACGAGGGTTCTGCTGTCAAGCTGGGCAGTGGTGTCACGGGCTACAATGTACTCGATGCTACCCACGGAAAGGGACTTGTTGTCGTCGGCGGCGAATGCCCTACTGTCGGTCTCGCTGGTGGATACACCATGGGTGGCGGTCACTCCGCTCTGAGCACTGCCTTCGGTCTGGGTGCTGACCAGACTCTGTCCTTCGAGGTTGTCACTGCTTCGGGCGAGGTCATCACGGCCTCCCGGACCAACAACACCGACCTGTACTGGGCCCTCAGTGGTGGTGGTGCCGGTAACTTCGGTGTTGTTACCTCTCTCACCGTCAAGGCCCACCCGGATGCCACCGTCTCCGGTGCTGCCCTTGAGTTCACCGTTGCCAACATCACCTCCGATCTCTTCTTCGAGGCCGTGGAGCACTTCCACACCCTGCTGCCCGCCATGGTCGATGCTGGCACCACCGTTATCTATGAGATGACCAACGAGATCTTCCTCATCAACCCCTTGACCGCCTACAACAAGACCACCGCTGAGGTCAAGACCATCCTGTCTCCCTTCCTCTCCGCCCTGACCGACCTGGGCATCGCGTACACCGTCGCCTACACCCAGTACTCCTCTTACTACGAGCACTACGAGAAGTACATGGGACCCCTCCCCTACGGCAACCTCGAGGTCGGCCAGTACAACTACGGCGGTCGCCTCCTCCCCCGCGACACCCTCACTTCCAACACCGCCGACCTCGTCTCCGTCCTCCGCAACATCACCAATGACGGTCTCATCGCTGTCGGTGTCGGTTTGAACGTCACCAACTCCAACGACACCGCCAACGCCGTCTTCCAGCCCTGGCGTAACGCCGCCGTGACCATGCAGTTCGGATCCGCCTGGAACGAGACTGCCCCTTGGTCCGAGATGGTCGCCGACCAGCTGCGCATTGCCAACGACTACATTCCCCAGTTCGAGGCCGTGACCCCCGGCTCTGGCTCCTACGAGAACGAGGGCAGCTTCCGTCAGCAGAACTGGCAGAAGGAATTCTTCGGCGCCAACTACGCCCAGCTCTGCGAGGTCAAGGAGAAGTACGACCCCGACCACGTCTTCTACGTCACCAAGGGTGCTGGTAGCGAGTACTGGTCTGTGGCTGAGTCGGGTCGCATGTGCAAGACTGAGCAGGCATGCGCTGCTGTCTGAGAATATTGTATCATACCCCATACGTAATGTTTTATATGTGGATGTTTACTGTACAGTATTGAGCTTGCGCGGTTGTATAGACGATAGATTACGGCTCTTATAGACTAATAATGTCATTTTTTTACGTGATTTAACTTTTATCCACTTATTATTTGATTATGATAGTTCTCCTTGATCAGTGATAGCTATAGTAAAGCAGAACTGCCTTAACATGATAGAATACTAGGTATTAGGCAGTTTTCCAAACTCACTAGTCATGTCACTCCAAGTAGCGAGAGCATAGGAAGAATAATCCCGTCATGCTTCCAATCGACGGCTTGGGTGAAATAGGAGAGTTCTGTGGGACAAGAAAATGGATAATTAGAAAGAGGGGGCATAAGCGTAATAGCAATAATATAGAGAGAGAGAAGTGAATAAATAACCCAGAAATAAAAAACTGAAGGTACTACAAATAGTACTAGTACCATCATTCAGATGCCACATATATATATATATATTATCTGCCTGAGGCATTAGTAGCTATTGCACCGAGTCATAACTACTGGTAATAAATATTATTACCGCGGTAATGTTACTACGGCCGATAACAATGTACGCTATGAAGTAAGTATCTTGATTTTCCAGAAAAACAGAAAGGGGTGTCATATCATATAGTGATCGTGGGAGGAAATTGGATGGTGAATTCCAGGTCTATCTATCGAACAGGAGGTCCCTTATAAATACCTAGTATATCACGGGTGCAGGTATTTATGATACTTGTGTGCTTGGCTCGAAAGTAAACCATTGATGAAGATATAAATATTTGCTGTCGGAAGATATTTCCCCGGGTTCGGTCTCTATGGCTGAGACAGAGGTTTACCTAACTTTAATGTCTCTACATTGCTTCGGGGCCCAAGCTAGACAACCTAATTCCATATAGCTCATGAAGTAATAAGCAGATGCTGGAACAGGGGTATCTGTGGTACAATCTCTCCATAACTGATAGCTAATTGTAAGCTGACACTTTGGTTCCTCCTTCTTGGCCATTTAATCTCTTCGGAGAACTTTATAATGTCCCGCTTATGACAGTTATTTGAGTCGATCTTCATATTATTACGAGCAGACTCTGAGTTATCTCTATACAGTGATTCAGCCAGAAGGCGTACACTAGGCCATTGGTGTTTTTTCTCCCAAGAAGGTCTCACTCGTATCTCTCAGGATGCTCGACGATGCGTGCCTCAGACCGTCATATCTTCGACAATATCTTACAGGCATAAGTTGGCACCATGCTTCTAGCACATGACAACGATGCATTCCAGTGATTGACTGAAGTCACAGTCATGAAACAAACCCGAGTCTAACGATGATAAGTCAATGCAGGTAGGAAATTCGAGTTCAGTTTTCCCGAGAGCCGGTTAATTAGGAACTGCTTCAGGTCAAGCAGCTAGTCGTTCGCCGGCTATACTTTTGATGCAGATTTTGGAGCAGTCGCCAAGCTTACCTCTAACTCCTTGCCGTGCGCAATCTCGCCTAAGTGAAGGTCTGAGCAACTCGTGCACAAGTTATCCGACCTGAGGCCAGCAAAACATCTGTCACGTGACCATTTAGTCATATATCTGCGGGGAAGGAAGTGGGAACGAATTGTCCGTCCAGGTACTAGTTTCGAAGATCTTGCCCAAATGCTGCTGTTTGAATACGTCAAGCGGATGTTAAGGTTTGGAAAACAGCCTCTTGTCTAATTATTGTGTGGATGTTTCATGGCCGTCATGGAAGTAGTCCTGTGTACTGAGCTGGTGTGTTGACTGAATGTCCTGCATGCAGTGAAAGACGGGTAGATGGTGGGGAGTCCATTCCTTGTATAAGTTATGACAGGGGCATAGGGTGAAACAGTCGTTTCTTGTATATTGTCTGTTAATCAACCAAGCTTTACAGCGCGAATATTGGACAGATAGATATTCGACAGGCTCCTGTGCAGGGTTCTCTGCAGCTGCCGCAGATGTCTGCTAATAATGAAACATACTCCGTCCCCTGCTGATCCATCATGATGCTGGTGCCATGGCGACCCTCGCTACGAGATGCATACTGAGGATGAGCAGCGCACGGATTGACTGGAATGAACCGCGTCGAAGCGAGATGCCCGTTATGTCCAATTCCACGGCTATAGTTGCCTCGTAATGGCTTTGCTGTCGAGTCCGAGCCCTGATCAGCGAACAGGGTCGGATAAACAGGGTCTTGCAGAGGGTGCAAGTGGGGAGATCGTGAGGTGGAAAGGGTCGTCATTTGAGGCTGGGAGAGACGATCGGGGACGGTCACAATAAATGGGCAGCTGGAACTGGTTGGCACAGCAGATGAAGACCCTGGCCAAGGGTTGACAGGGCCCATTGAGAGCCGCGGACAGCGGCGAGGGGTGCGTGGCCTGTGGATGCGGCAGAGGGAAACAGCCAAACAGAGTGGTGGATGCCATTCCCACCGCCAGCCTGATCGGCCACCTTGTTCCGCCAATAGTCGGCCGTTATCTGCCACTCCGTCCCGTGCCTGGAGCGGGATAGACTCTCCGCCTACTGTATCCGGCAAGGCAGGTGGCTGCCATCCCCGATTCTGCCGGGAAGGTCTCCAGCAAGTTTACGTTCGCTCGTCTCCATCTCTCCATCTCTCCTGGCCGATCTGGCGGCCTGGCCGTGTGTCCCTCGTTCCTTTTTTCTCCCATTATATTATCTTCCGTGATTCCTTCTTTCCTTCGATTCTGTCCCTTCTAGCGTCTCTTTTCTTTGCTTCTTTCTTTCAGCCTATTCCCGCTTGTCTGCCTCTTATTGTCAGGCACCTCCGTGTGTGTGGGATTCTTTTCCACTGCCACTTTGCTTACGAGTCCCCTACCTTACTTGGAGGGGTTTATCAGTCGCTCGCTTAACTCACTTTGCTTGGATTATATACTATATACCCTTTAATTTTTACAGCTCGTTCGGACGTTCAGCTCTCCTTTCTTCCCACATGGCTCGTCTTCTTTTCGCCGCCTGCAGCGCCCTGCTGCTGGCCACGCAAGCAGCCGCCGACACTTTCCCCTACAACACCTACCGCACCGCTCCGTACACCCCTCCCCAAATCAAGGTCACCAAGTCCGGCCAAACAGATCCGGGTTATATCTTTGTCGGCCCCCGTGGAAATCAACCGCAAGGAACGGCTGCCCTGATTTACGATGAGGACGGCCACTTGATCTACCAGGGGCCGGAGGAGGTAACGGCCAACTTCAAGGTCCAGAAACTCTTTAACGAGGACGTCATCACCTTCTGGGCCGGAAACATGATGGATCTGGGTTTTGGATACGGCACGGTTCATATTCTTGACAACACGTACCGCGAAATCTACACCGTCACCCTCCAGGACAACTTCGTCTCGCCCGATGGCGCCCCCAGGGATTCGTACATCGATCTACACGAGAGTCATGTGACGGATCGCAACACTCTTTTGGTCACGGCCTACAACGTCACCCAGCACGACTTGTCCTCCATCGGCGGCAAGGTGGATGACTACATGCTCGACGGCATGTTCTTCGAAATCGATATCGCGACCAACGAGATTGTGTATCAGTGGAGCGCATTGGACCACCTTCAGGACATCCCCCTCGAGGCCTCCAAGCAGGGCTTGGGGGCAGATCAGGGGACGCAGGACAAGCCCTGGGACGCTTACCACATCAACTCCGTCGAGCTGATGGATGAAGGATACATCATTTCGCTGCGTCACTACTGGTCCGGCTTTTATGTTCACAACAATGGGTCAGTGATGTGGCAGCTCAGTGTAAGTGGAATCATGTTCGCTCTGGTCGTAATCTACTTGCTAAAATTTGATAGGGTGAACGCAACGCCGGCGACTTTGAGATTGATGACGGTGCCATCTTCTCCTGGCAGCACGACATCCGTGTCTACCACCAGACGGAAGACAGCATGCAAATCAGCTTGTTCAACAACGCCAACACACCCACGGATACTGTCGACGCAACCACCGGCTTGAATCTGCACGTTGACCTGACCAACCGCAAGGTGTCCACACTGCGCACGCTGAAAGACTCGAGTGACGTGATACACAGTGTCAGCCAGGGCAGCTACCAGCTTCTCAGTGAGGAGACGTCTCACGTTGTGCTCGGTTACGGTTCCATCTCGAAAGTCAAGGAATATGACGCCCACAACAACGAGGTGATGACGGCGCAGTTCGGTGACGACAATGCGGTGGCGTCTTACCGCGGCTACAAGTGCCAGTGGAAGGCGACCCCCTTCTGGCAGCCCGCAGTGGCGATCGTGCGGACGACGTCGGATGCGGCTACTCTGTTTATGAGCTGGAATGGAGCTACGGAGTATGACAACTGGGCCATCTACACGGCCTCGTCGGCAGATGCGGTTGACCCGACATTTGTCACATCGATCAAGCGCAACGGGTTCGAGACCACGGCGCATGTGACGGGACTGCGCACCAACTGGCTCCAAGTGGTTGCTCGGAAGGGTAACATTCCTCTGGGGACATCCGCCATGGCGTATTTCTAGACAGTGTTCTGACGCACAAATGACGGTTGGGAGGTGTTGAGCGAGGGTCGGGGTGTACATGCAGATTTTCATTGTATATATTGATGATTCTAAGTTTTGTAAATAGTATACCCTTTACGGCAGCATTCTGCTTGTTGCTAGCATTGATGAATAGAGCTATATGAAGTCCATCTAGCTTCACATACCTTATTATTTTGGGAATTTTGGCCAACACACACTGCAAAAGAATGGCATCTTCAGACCGCCAGATAATCCTCCCTCCCAAATCAGACGTGACACGATGTCCCGTCCATCACGCACTTGTGTGTCCCATCTGCCTCTCTGGGGAGGACCAGTGCGACAGCACCGGCAGAGATGTGATGACCGTGCTCAAGCTGGGAATCTTCAGAGCACAAGCACGTACCTGCAGCCATACGTAATGTGCAACCAACCAACATCATTATACGCAGCATTGATCCAGCCAGACCAACAGATGTATATAACGCACCTCTCGACCCACCCGCTCATCTATACACTCATCCCATCATCGCACACCTCCACAAGAACCACATCCCTCTCTAGTACTATCTCCACCTCTCTCTATCAAAATGAAACCCACCATCCTTCCAACCCTCCCCCTCCTCTCCCTCCTCCTCCCGCTCGCAACCACCCACCCCACCCCCCAAGACACCATCACCACGAGCACTATAACCCCAGGCCACGCCATAATCCTCAACACCTGCGCCTTCCCCATCTACGCATGGTCCGTCTCATCCACAGTCGGTCCGCAAATCACCATCCCTGCAGCTCAACCCGTCACCAGCACCAGCACCAACAATAGCACCACCCAACAATTCTCCAACTACACTGAACCCTACCACCATGATGCGCAAACCGGCGGAGTGAGCATCAAGCTCACGACTCTCCGGAACGGACTGTATACGGGTGCGCCGCAAACAATCTTCGCGTATAACTTTGTCGAGGGCCAGAATCAGGTGTGGTTTGATTTGTCGGATGTTTATGGCGACCCGTTTAAGGGGAGGAGGGTGAGTGTGCAGGTTAGGGTTGTGCAGGGCGGTGAGAATGGTGGTGGTGGTGGTGATAGGTGGGAGGAGAGTATTGTTTGGGAGGATGGGGTGCCGGTCGGGGGGAGTCAGGTTAGGGTTGTCGGGGCGGAGAGGGATTTGGTGGTTAGGTTGTGTTCGTAGGTTTTGAGGTTTTGTTAAGGTGGTGGTGGTGAGGGTGGTGGTGGTGGTAAGGGTGGTAGTATGTTGATGTCTATTGTTGAGTATGATTTGTTTATTTTATTGGGTTCAATGCTTGTTGTTTGGTCAGTAGAGGTGGAATAAGGGTCCTATGGCTGGATAGGTTCTGCTGGTGGGTACTAGGTGATTAGTATAGTAGGTATGGTATGCAACTTGGGTAAGGTTGTGTGACTTGCCTGCGTGTATGGGGTGTAGGTGTAGGTGGAGGGTGTTTGGATCGGAGGTAGGGAATGTAGAAAGGTAAGCAGATGCTGGCTGCGAGAGATGTTTGGATGAGGAGTTTGGTAGGCATTGTGTCACAGTAGAGATGTAGTGATGTGGATGAAGATGTAGTGGAGGGTGCTTGAGCAGATAACTATAGATGTATCATATGCCTGAGGCTCCAAGGTACAACAACCCTATGAACTGGACAGCTTCTTGACTTGCTTCATAGAGATAGTGGCAGTTGACAACTCCCTCCTCCTGATTGGCGCCCGCGAGTCTCATGACCCCACGATTTCGGCCCCAATCATCGATAGTGCTTCCTCCAGCTGCCGCCCGATTGGACCCGAGGCTGACTCGGGCCTGCAGATAACTTAGCAGAAGGGAGACTAGTAGCATACTTTGCAGTTAGCACTCTCCCTGATGATGCGAAAAAATGCGGGGACCCGATGTGGGGGTCGGAAAATAACCTGGAGTAGGCTCCAGCAAAGCTGTCATGATGCATCTCTCCACCTCCAAGCATCCAGATAAGCTAACATCAGGCCACACTCGCAGAATGCAATCAACCCCCTAGTCATCATGGACAGGCCTTCCAAGCGGCCGCGGCTGTCAATGGCCTGCAACATCTGTCGTCAGCGCAAGGTCAAATGCGATGCAGAGTATCCTAAGTGCCGCAATTGCCGCCTGCGCAACCAACAGTGTATCACCACCGATCCCCAGCGACCAGGGGTGACTGGCATTCGAGAATGGCTGGATATACCAGACAAACAGACTCCTCAGAATGATGATCAGCCTCAGCATCCGGCAGTCGGTGATCAGAATCACCAGGAAGCGACCGACACGCCACAGAAGCTGTCGCCAAATGAGGTGTCGCCCGTGCATCATCCGTTCGACGTCTCGTTCAACGTGGAACATGGCACCGATAAGGTCAAGATTATGGGTGGAAGCAGTTCTCAATGTTTGGCGAAATCTCTCGATGTCTACTTTAAGGCTGCCCGATTGAAACCAGTATCGGGCTGCTTCCGGTACGGGATGAGACACGCGGAGGAACTCGATCTACCCCTCTCTCTGTCTTTGCCGGAGCTACCAGACAGTGACCGACGAGAACGCTATCTATCCGCCTACATCACTCGCATACACACTCTCTATCCTATCTTCAACACAACCCGGCTTCGCCTGGGTACTGATCTCTTTGCCACTGCGGGTGGCTTCACGAATCTTCCGCGCGACCAAATCCCGCGGATCGTGTCAGCGTACTTGATCATGAGTTTAGGAGCAGACGAGATAGGCCAGGGGGCAACAGTGGACGGAGATCGCTACTTGCAGGCAGCGGCGTGTCTGCTGTCTCATGTTATCATCATCCCGTATCTCCCGACCGTGCAGACATTGCTTCTTTTCACCATGGCATACCGCGGGCGGAACCAGGAAGGTCTAGCATGGCAGACTCTAGGCATGGCTATTCGGACTGCTTATACGCTGGGAATCAACCGGACTTCTACCTCCAACTCCGAAGGAAAGAACATCGAGCGACGCGTGTGGGCCGTGTGTTGGTGTCTGGAGAAGATGATGCATCTGGAATCGGGACGGCCGACTGTCATCGGATATCAGCATCCTAAGCCAGAAGATGCTCTGGGAGAGAGTAAATTCCTGAAATGGCACGTCGAGCTTGGAGAATACCAAGGCAATATCAGTCATCATCTGTACAGTCATCTATCAGGGACAAGGGACGTGCGACAGATCCTCTTGGACACAGCGCGACTAGACCGCGAGCTGCTATCCTGGGCGAATCGGGTCCCTACCGACCTACGTCCGGGAAGTGATATCTTCTGCGCAGACGAGGAGTTTCATGCAGCTGCTTTTCTGTCCATTCAGTACCACAGCACTCTGATCTCGCTGCATCGCGCCGCCCTCATCGCCCCGACATCGAGCTTTGAGGAAGAAGTGGCGAAATATTGCTCCGATGAGCCATCGCAGTTCCGAATGCGTCATGGAGAGTCAATCTGCGTGAGCAGCGCTCGAGCGATTGCCAAGCTCAGCGTCCAGCTGTCGGAACGCAAGACAGACTCGCAGACTATCCCGGCTGGACCGTCCCTTTTGGCTTGCATAGTGCTGGCGATCTTTCTAATTAAGCACCCGGGGTCCAGGTTGCAGGCCATGGATTTGCAGGTATGCTACTCTGCCTCTTATTGTGGAATTTAGTTAACGAGAACAGCTTCTCAAGGCGTGTCTAGAGTACAGTAGTCAGCACCTATCTCGATACGATCCCGACCCGCGGTTCATAGAAGGTATGATGACACGAAGCATGACACAGACACAGTCAACTAAGCTAGATAGGTATCGCGGCTATCTACGAACAATGCAGCGCCCATCTCCGGTCCTGGTCAGCTGCAGAAGCCAAAAGACGTCCACACAGTCGTGACAGTCTCACAAAACTTAATCCACTTCCTACCCCAGCAGTTGACGACGCGCTGCCACCTTGGAGGCCTACCGAAGTGATGCAGCCGAGCGACCTGCACAAACAGAGTAACGGTGAATACCAGTCTCAGCGTGTGATACAATCAGCCGTATCTACACCTGCTATAGACCATGGCCAAGACCATCTAGACTCGTTAGGATTTTCCAGCACATCAATGCTAGATGGGTTTGTCGCGGAGGGTGTCAACGTGGACCAAGTATTTCCCTTCGAAGGATACAATGTGGAGGAGCTGTGGAATTGGATGGGATGCTTAGATAGTCCGGGGTCGATGCCTGATATACGATAGTTTTCTACGGGGAAGACAAGTGACTGTAACTAGTAAGAATCAACAAATGTAACATTCAATACAAACTACATAATCAAACAACAAACGACTTCAACAAGCACAACAACACACTACCTAAGCAGCAACCTCAGCACCCCCCTCCATCCTCTCCAAATACGGAATCCCCGTCAACTTAAACACCCTCTCACTCAGCACCGGCTCCTGCACCGGCCTCTCCCTCGCCACCGGACAAGGCTTCCCATCCCTCATAGCAATATTCGTCTTCGAGACATGTTTCGCATGCGGCCAATGCGTCGTTCCCAACCGACCTACCCAACAATCCATTAGCACAAACCCCAAACCCCCCAAACCGGAATAGAAAAAAACTCACTCTCAAAAGCCCCCCTCTTCCTAACCAAGTCCTCCTTCTCAACCTCCCTCACCGGCATAAAGCAGGTATAAACCGCAAACCGATCCTGCCCACCCGTCGGGGGCACATTATAGTGCGGCGTGCGACTATCCCAGACAATCAAGTCCCCAGGCTCAGCACATACCTTCTCCCATTTCAGTCCGTGGTCCGCCAGCCATTTCATCCCTGCATCGGTGAACCCGAACCATTCGGTCGTCCAGGCGGGGATGCGCTCTTCGTGTGCCATTTCGGTGTGGAATTGGGCGGAGAGCGCGTGTCCGCCTTTGCAGACGATGAGGCCGCCGTCGTTGGGGCCGTTGGGGAGGAGGTTGACGAGGCCTTGGAGGCCTGGTATGATTTTATTTTAGTTGGGTGTTTTGGTGGGGACGGGGGGAAGTAGGGTTTGGGAAAGGGACCGTACATCTGAAACCTGGCTTGGAGGGATCTTGGTCCTGGTGAGGCCAGGGTTTGCTTTATCCATATTAGTATCCATCTTTTCGTCACTTGAGAGAATGGAATATGGTAGTGGTGATGGTATTGAGACTCACTTCTCAGGCAGATCCTCCCGACTTTACAAACCAACACATTAGCATTTTCCATCACATACTCACAACTATACAATACCAGGAGAGATAAGAAGGAGGGAGAAATACTTAGCAAACCCCACATTCACGACATCAAACGAAACAATCAAATCCTCATCATCATACACCTTCTTAAACGCATCCACTACACCTTCCTCACCACGAATATCCCACACCCACTGCTCATGCGTCACGCCGTAGTCAAGTATCATGCCTTTTTCATTCAGCACGGGCAGTTTGGCCCGTCGGACGGTGCTGGGGTCGTGTCGGTTGTAGCCTAGGTTACTGTCATCATATTTGATTAGTATTTGATCTATGATATAGGGAAGAGAAAGGGAGGTATAATTACAATCCCTCCATATACGAGTAAAACGCATCCGCGTATCCATTTGCCCGATCAAGTGGAATCGCTCCCTTGATGACGGCGTAGCCGTCGCGGTTCAGTGCATCTCGGAAGTCGCCGTAGTTGGTGGGTTTGCCGTCGAGGAGCATGCGGTTTTGGCCTTGGCCGTAGCCTTGGGCTTTGGGAGGCTCCGCGGTGGTGGTCGTGGTTGTGGTGGTGATAGTGGCTGTGGTGGACATTTTGATTGCTTGTTGTTGTTATTGTTGTAGTACTGGTTTGTGTCGATGTTCGCTGTGAAGTGTGGGTGTGTGGATTGGGGTAAGGTGTTGGATTCAGCCTGTACTTATCTTCGTGGATTTGGATCTTTGTCAGATTATCTTTTGGTTCAGGTATAGTGAGTGGTTTACTGCGCCGAGAGGTGGCCGAGTTTGTTAGGGTTCGGAGGGCTCGGGGCGCCCCGAGATGGGCTCCGAGGGTCGGTCGTCGCCGAGAGATGGATGCCGCTTTGATGGAACGATAATAACAAAAAGGTGCAATATCCCCCTCACTCCTTCTTATTGAGAGTAATTGCAGTAAGGCAATCATCATGACATTCAATATCATCATAGTAGGAGGCGGCATTGCCGGACTCGCAGCCGTATGAACACACCTCCTTCTTAACCATAGGCAAACTAACAGCAGAATAGGCAATAGCACTCCGCTCCGATCACCACACCATCACCATCCTCGAACAATCCTCCCAATCGCGCGAAATCGGCGCCACCATCTCCCTCCAACCCAACGCTAGCAAAATTGTCGAGCAGCGATGGGGCCTCGCGGACCGTCTCCGCGAACAGGGCTCAATGCCTGACTCCGCCTTCGAGGTATATAACCTCCGTGGGGAGCTGCAGACCCGTATTCCTTTGGTGACATCCAAATACGGCGCAGATAGGATGATCTACCACCGCGTGGATCTGCATCAGGTGCTGAAGCATCGGGCTACCTCGGATGGATATCCGGGGCGGCCTGCTACGTTGCGGGTGTCGAGTAGAGTGAAAGGATGTGATTCTGAAGAAGGGGTAGTTGAATTAGAAGATGGGGAAATTCTGAAAGGGGACTTGATCATCGGTGCAGACGGGATCAAGAGCGTTATAAGAGGTGCAGTACTGGGGAGAGAAGTACCCGGTCAAACGACTGGATTGAGCGCATATCGCATGATGGTAGGTACGGACGAGCTGATAGCTGAGAAAGGTTTCGTGGATGTCATTGATCCACGGATTGCGAGGACAACGATGGTTGTTGGTCCCGATCGACGACTTATCATGGGTCCGGCGAGGAATGGGTCTCTTTATAGTATTGTTGCTCTAGTTCCAGACGAGAAAAGGGATGAGGAGTCAACGAGTTGGATGACTGCTGGTGATAAGGGAAAGATGCTTGCTACGTTTGCAGACTTTCCGGAGTGGGCGACGACGCCGCTGCGGTTGGCAGCGAGGAAAGAGGAGGATATTGGGCTTTGGCAGCTGAGGGATCTAGATCCGTTGGAGACGTGGTGTCGGGGGAGGACGATCTTGATTGGTGATGCTGCGCATGCTATGCTGCCGACGCAGGGACAGGGTGGGAGTCAGGCGGTTGAGGATGCTGAGGCGCTTGGGGCTTTCTTTGAGGGGCTTAAGGGAGGTGAAGGGAGGGAAGAGGTTGAGAAGGTGTGTCGGGAGGTTTTTGAGTGTCGGTATAAAAGGGCGAGTACGATCCAGGCCTATAGTCGCCAGGCGGGAAGGCCGGTGGAGGAAGATGTGAGGGTCGCGATGAATCCGGCCGAGTTTATGGACTATAATTGCTTGTATGAGGGGGCGATGGCCTGGAGGAGGCAGCAGGAGGCTGTAGTTGCTTGATTAATCACAGGTTGTTCTAATCTCATTTCATCCTGATGTCACGATTCTAATATTGTTCTGTGAATATCTGGAAAGAAAAATTGAGACAACATTAGCCTATCAATAACCCGGATAGGCTATCGATGCCCAATACCCGCACCCAACGCATGGATAACGGGTATCACCAAGACTTCGTTGGCGCACATACGCAGTCTCTCAGACGTATATAAAACTATCAGCCAGTCTCTCTGACGGGTTACCCTATACACAACCTAAAGCAAAATCAATATCTTAAACGTGCTTGGAGTTAAACCCTCAAATACGCGAAAATGGAAGAGCCAACTTATGATCCGAGGTATATAACCCACGTGCCTCTGCAACGCCATCTCTAATTCAAATAGTCGTCCCATGCCAGCCCTGGAACTTGTCTATGTACACAAGATCGTCAACTGTCCGGGAAAGACAATCGTTGGCCTGCGCGTGGATTTCCCCCCAAACGGATCGACTCCACCCCATCGACACGGCGGCGCTTCGGTCTCGGCCTACGTCGTTAGCGGCACACTTTTAAACAAGATGAATGAGGACCCAATGAAAGTGATTCCTGCAGGAGGCTCTTGGTATGAGGCACCGGGTTGCCATCACCGCATCAGTGACAATGCCAGTTCGACAGAGCCGGCCACACTCATGGCTGTTATGATATTGGACTCGGATGTATACGAGCGCGATGGGATGGCAGCGTTGCTCCAGATTGATGAGGAGTACAAGCATAACTAGAACCTTTGATTTGGCCTAACCACCCTGACACTAAGCTGTAGCTGAGGTGGCGGGTGATTGTGTTGGAGTTGAGCACTTACAAGGATTGAGATCAAGAGAAGTGATGTGTAATCGGCCATGTGTCCATGCCTTCTTATAATGAATGGAGTGTCATCTCTAGGGATATCAGCTATTATCGTCTCTGATAAAAGTTTCCATTAGCATCGACCCGGAGTAGTATGAAGTGGTCATTCTGGTACAGCGATGACTCAAGAGGGGAGACAACGAGCAATTGGGGATGGAGCGATTGCATGTCTTGGTATCTTTAGTACTTGCACCCTAGGAGTAGTCGTGATATTAAGAGAGGAATTTTCTATAGAATAATGCGATTATTTATCAATATCTACTCTGTACTTCTAACACAATATCGTAACACCGGTTCGGGTTCCTGTTCCGGAAAGTTAGGGCGCAGGCTCGGCCCCACCGACCGAGAAGCTGGAGAATTTGTCAGCCCAGATGGCAAGATAGAAATTGAACGCCCATGTTTAAACAGACGATTACTATCTTACTCTTGAGAGAAGACCAAATTGTGGGACGTAAAAGCTGTTATACTCATGGCGACCGTAGCAACTAGAAGCGTCACTCGGCTGACGGCCAGGTAAGCCCCAAACATCTAGATCGATAGGAGACCAACTAATCAAGCAACAGGACATTATCCAAGAGAATATCAATCCTCACACCCTTCATAAACTCCAGGATGAGTTCCTCATCCGCTGCAGTGGCAGCAGCAACGTCATTAGAAACAGACGATGCCACTAAATCAGCAAAAGCCAGCTATCAAATCGTCACCTCACACCACAACTTCCATGAAACCGAATCCCAAAGACCCAATTTCGACCACAATGCCCCCATCAATATCACCAAATCGCCTTACCCTAGCTGGAAATACGGCCAAGGAGTTCCCGACAACAATCACAGCGCCAGCAAAACCCACCACGAGATCGATCCCTACGCTGAGGATCGCCCAATGGTCAACAATTACCGACTGCTCGTGTCAGGCATCGCACCCCGACCCATCGGCTTCATCAGCACTATCTCCAGCGATGGCAAGACCGAGAATCTTGCGCCCTTCAGCTACTTCCAAGTGGTGGACCACGACCCACCCATGTTCATTGTCGGGTTCTCATCCCGCCCTGGCGCAGTCAAAGATACATACCGGAACCTGAAAGAGACCGGTGAGTGTGTGATCAACACCGTTTCCGAGGGGATGATTGAGGCTGTGAATGCGACGTCAATTGATGCCCCGTATGGGGTGTCGGAGTGGGAGGTATCGGGTCTGGGTAAAGCGCCTAGTTCGACTGTCAAGGCACCGAGGGTTAAGGAGTCTGTTTTTTCTGTCGAGGGAAAGGTTATCGATATCAAGGAGTTCGAGGCGCATAAGCCGGGCATGAGTTCTCCTGCGGTGGTTTTGATCCAGGCAACGAGGTTCTGGGTGCAGGAGGGTGCGGCGGATGAGGAGTTTAGTCATATTGACTTGGAGAAGTTGAGGCCTGTGGCGCAGTTGGGTGGGGTGTCGTATGGAAGGATTTCGTCGACATTTGAGAGGCCTAGAAAGAAGTGGGATGATGAGGTTGGGAAGAGTGAGTTGTTGGCTGAGTTGGAAAGGAGGAACAAGGACAGTTCGTAAACAGGATTATGTCTCCTGTTTAGATAGATTACGTCCCGCATTATATTGGGCTTAGCATGAGTGTCAAGGAATTATATGCATACTCTTGAATAGTTCATGGAGTCATGATTGACCTGGACGAGATGTATTAAAACATCTCAGTAAATTGCAAACCCGGACATCGTGCTGAGGCATACCAGGGCTGTGTGCCTGGCTATCCAGGCATCAATATAGTCGCCAGATAAGGTAAGGCGGACCGTCGGAGTCTTGTACCCGACGACCAGTGACTGTTCAACAGCCATCCCAGAAGTACATCTGACTGCAGAACCAAGGACAACAAAATATACATATCGTCAACATACACTTGAATCTTGCTTCATCATGTCTTTCCTCCGCCTTTCTACAAGGGCTCTACCAGCCAATCTGCTCCCCCGCCAGCACGTCGCCCGCCGCACCATTGCAACAGCAAGCAAGAAGGAATGGCTCTGCATTATTCCTGATACACCAGAGGGTCCCGAACTGAGAAAGAAAGTTCGAGCGTAAGTTTTTTTCTACTTCCATCTAGGTGTACGCCAGCTCAACTATCCTCGCTCACAACATCATAGGACTCACATGGAAGGAGTCGGCCCCCTCGTCCAGGCGGGAAAGCTAGTCGCAGGTGGTTCGTCTCACATCATCCTATTGGCTTCTATTCGAGCCCTCTTATATGGCTATTCTCAATTAAATTCATCTTGATAGGTGCGATGCTGGCCACTCATCCCGAGGAAGGCAAAGATCTGTCATTCAAGGGCAGTATGCTTGTGTATATGGCTGAAAACTTGGAGGAAGTGCACCAGCTTATTAACGGGGATATCTACGCTAAGAGCGGCGTTTGGGATCTGGGAAAGGCGCTTGTTGTCCCGGTGAGTAATTTGCTTCCGTTCTTTTGGTTGTGGTACTGTGAGCCGGGTTATGCTGATAATGGCTGCGTGCAGTATTTGTCCGCCGTGAGGGAGCCTTTGAAGAAGGAATAGAAATGACTATTTATTCTGTGTCTTTCAGAGATTAGTGGTGCTATTTTTTCCTCGATGTATTGGAGAGCGGCCATCGTTGAGCACATATAATGTCTTAGGCTACTTAATGCAGATTAAGCATTTGACCTATCGAAGATGCTACCGGTATGTGATTTCTCGGATAATTCTCGTAACTCGCCGAAACTACTCAGACAGGAATGTGGTGTATGGCTGCAGCCATAATCTGCCATATTTGGTAAGCCCTTGCGTTGGTGGCATGCAGGTGATGGAGGGATACTGCAGACAGATTCCCAGCCACATAAGACAAGATGTTAGAGGCAATTTCAAGAACAAGGGACGATGGCGCATCTGGGAGCGCGTCAGACTGAAGATCTGGAGGTGGCCGGTTCAAGCCCGGCTCGTCCCATTCTTTTTTTTTTTCAAATTTTTATCCGAATCTCGGCCTGGTGGGTCTCATTCGGCCTCATACAACAAACGACCAATACGAATACGGATGTGTAGGAGGTATGGTAAGACGTTTGATTGCAATGATGGGGGAGAAGGCAATCGATCTTGGTCTTTTTTGGAATTTGCTTCTATGGCTCGCATGTTTTAGTTGATTGTCAAAGGGTGTCCCTTAATATTCCTGGTCCTCCCCCGTGGTTGGCTGTGGGTATATCCGAAGGCATGGACTAATCGTTCGATGAAATGCGAGTAAACGACGGTGTCGTACTCCATATGAGGGAATATATAGACAGGTACTGCTACTATGGCCCTGGCTCACTGTACTAATGTATCCATTCGACGCCTGGTAAGTATGATGAGCAACTAAGTAAAAGGGAGGTACATGATGTTTTTAGGCTTAATGTGCGGATATATATAGTTGTCGGTGCAGCCGACATTGATAGTATCAAAACCAAACAATTTTGACTAAGCTCGGCAGTTTGCGACCACTAAGAGGCCAGAGAGCAATGGCAGAGTTCATCAAAGCAGGAGCCTTACCATAAACTTTAGTCGTAATTATATTGACTCTTATGGCACATCTCATGCTTGTGCTAGCGACAAAGTCTCCTTTGATGTAGCACTATGTGGGCCCAAATATACATCAAATGGCCTGCTGGCCCAATGGTAAGGCGCTTGACTACGGATCAAGAGATTGCAGGTTCGAGTCCTGCGTAGGTCATTCTTTTTTAATTTTCTTTTTTCACTTCTATTTTTTCTCTACTACTTGACAAAACAATCAGGCGACCGTTCAAAGTACCCGCCCATATCTTTGAACCACTTGTGTTCCATCACCACCTATCATTAATATCTTCGACGAGCTGTGTCACACTCTATCGCCGAATCGAACTTCACCCCAGGCTCCACATTGTAGGGCCATTTGACTCCGTACACCATTTGATCTAATCAACCATCACATCTATAAGATCCTCAATATCCTTTACAGTGACATTCTTTTGCATCTCCCGCGCCAGTGACACGGCACATGAGACAATGTTCTTAATCTGCAGTACATGTTAGCTTGCTTGTGACCATAAAAACACCGAAAGCTGACGAACCTGTCGCCCATTCAGCGCATGCCTCGAAAGCGCCACAAAGTCATCGGCGGTAAATTCAGCCAGCTCCGACGATTTTGCGACATTGTTCAAGAAATTCTTCCACACTTCTAGTCGGCTGCTGGTATCAAGCTCCGGATAGTGCATGGTGAAATGGATTCGACCTGTGATCATCGCATCAGGAGCTGAAGACACCATTCAACCAGGCCGAAACTCACTCTTGAATGCCGGATCAATGTCGCTCTTTCGGTTTGTGGTGAGTATGGCGACACCACGGAAACTATGATGGATTTTAGCACAGGCCGACATTTCCTATCAAGGGCTACTTACTACTCGAGTCGTCGGAGAAAGACGCTGACTAGAGCATCCCTCGCTAGGTCCTTGCCACGAGCCGAAAGGAACACATCTGCTTCATCGATCAACAGAACACAGCCCCACCGCCGGGTGATCTCTAAGATCATCCCCAGACGATTGTCGACTATATCAGGGTCGATTCCAAGCTCGCCGGTTGCTACTACATACAAAGGGCGCTGAGTTACTTCGGCAACGGCTTCTGCAGTCAATGTCTTGCCCACACCCGGGCTTCCGGTTAGGAGTGCAATAAGGCCTTTGCCTTTGTTCGCAACGATATCGTCAAAGACCGCGTCATCCTGGCGATGGGCCTTGACAAGTCCATGGATAAGTTCTCGGCGGTTTTCGGCCATGACCAGTCGTTTGAAGGCATTGTGGTTCCACTCTACATCGGATAACGCCGATACCGAAAGTTGACACCAAGACTTTTGTGCGAAGCTGAAGCCATTGATGAACGAGGCACAAATCAAGTATTGGTCATCAGACAAGCCGACAGGATCCAAAAACCCTTCTGATAGTACAAAAGGTCTGTTCAACTCCGACGATGTGTTATGAAGATAGTAACCAGCAGGGTCGACCATGACTCTCCCCAATGCCTATATAAGTGAGTCAGCGCCAATGTCCAAAATGGAGTAAGAGTTGCAGTCAGACATTAAACTTCTCGGGCACGGAGTCACCGTTGGCTCGTTCAAACTCCTTTATACCGTTTGCAGCCGTATACTCTCTGCATGCAGGCTGTTCGAGTAGCGCAACGAATTTACGCCCGCGGGCAATGAGCCTCTCTCGCACGGCAGATTCCTCGTCATGGTATTTGAGCGGAAAGAAGTTCAAGCTAGTTATTGTTCTCGCACCCTCATATTTGTTGATTTCTAGCTCCATTGTCGATTTACCAAAGTCTTGACCGTCATGTTTGATAACTTCGGCACTTGCAGAAAAGTATTGCTGGCCATTTGGACGTGACTGATAACTAGACATCTTCAGGTTGAAGGCCTGCTCTTCAGTCATAAGGCCAAACCGGGGTGAGATAATAACTTCCTTGGGCGGGAGGATTGCCCAAAGAAGATCCCAGGTGATCTGATTCTCACCCAGAAGCGACTTCAAGCTGACAATCTGAGCTGCAAAGTCCTCCTCAACAAATTGCAGAGCCGTGCCAATATCATCGATCAGTTGCTGGCTGGGTTTCTCCTTCTGCTTCTCCTCTTCTTTGATACGTATCAAATCCGGGGCGGCCCAGAAGAACACCTCGGGTGTAGCCTAAAGAGATTCGTCAGTCAGTGGAGCTTCAGAAGTCCGTATGAGCTGACAAACCATTGGAGGAGTCTTATTCAAGTCAAGGCCTTCTACATCTTTGAACAGATCACGAAACAAATCTTGCAGGAGAGGAGACCGGATGTCAATCTCGACGTGGGAGACCATGCCCTGCTTTGAAATAACTCGGCGAACGACCATTGCAGTCTTACTGAAACGATCGGGTTTGGCTTTGACTTTTGCCGTCTTAACGAAGTGGACTTGTCGGTCCTTTCTGTATCCATGTTAATGGTCCGGCTGTCTGAGGTTCGACGCAATGTTTCGCTACCTGCTATATCTGTTGGAGCGAACTATGATTAGCACCCTCTTTACCAAGACCTAAGGTACGGTCTCAAACTCACATTTGATCCACGCGCAACAAACGCTGAGACTTGTTGCCACGGTCCGTCATGGCGCGCTGGATGGATGGCTTGGAAGGCCCGTCTGAGGGCTTAGCCGCCGCCGCGGACTCGGTCTGATCGGCCATGTCGTTTTTGGGTGCTGATAATGGCTACAGTGGCACATGAAATGAGAGAACAGACGAACTTAGAACGAAAGGTGAAAGAATTGGCAACTGGAGCAACTTATGCTTGGAAAAAACAAGGCTGTCGACACTTGGCTCGTATATGGGATGTGGGCCAGGGCGTTCGCAGTGGGGGTGGCTGCTGATGCTGTCCAAGGCTTCAAGCTCATCCTTCCCAGTCCATGCGTCAGCACAGCGACAAAGTCGCGCCACCATTTCTGCCCAACTCAATGTACCAAAAGACTTCCTTCTATTATAAAAGTGGAGGTAATAACCTGTTATCCGGGAAGTTCTTTGTACAGAACATTTTCTTTTTCACCAACAGAGGCTAATCCTGCTGCCTTTCAGGGTCTGGAGACGACAGGGTGTCGAGCCGTGCCGCGCGGCGCAAACCCTGGCCCCCCGTAGGATCACTCAGATTTTAGTCTGACAGCCTTGTCAGTTGTCACACTAGGTTAATTATATGTGGCTAGTTATTCTCATGCAAGGTCTGACGTGTGCACAGGCGGGGTAGATTGCAGACTGTCTTCTGTCCTATTTCTCAGAGTAGTGAGGCGCGCAAAGTCCCCAGCATAGAGCCTCCCAGTGGGACCAGACCCGGTCTATTACTTATAGTTATTATCTCGCGTGATCTCAGTGAATCATTTTGGTCCTTGACAAGGCTGCCGATTGTGCCATTTTCTCACAATGCCCGAGGATTCCAGCGAAAATGTGGGAGGAACAGGCTCAACTGCCTTTGCGCGTGCGCTGGAAGAATATATCAACAAACCCCGATCGGCGAGAAGCAAGACCCCCCAGTTTCTCAAAAAACTGCAAGAACAACAATGTTCCGGCTCAATTCTTACTGGAGATGCCATCAAAAAAGACCTTTTCCTTTTGGATCGCCAGGCGACAGATCGCACAGCCGCTCGTGCCGCTCGCAAGATTTTGGGACCGGTTATACAGGTGCTTAATACCTACTCAGGAATTGTCGAAACTCTGGTCTCAGCAGATCCCATGCCTACGGCTATAATATGGGGCTGCTTGAAGTCTGTGATCGACTGCTCGCAGAGGTTCCTTGAACTGTACGAAAAGATATCCGATCAGATCAAACGCCTAAACACACACATCACCGTGCTTACAGAATATGAGGATTTATTCGATCACTCCGCTACGATGCGGGAGCTATTGCAAGCATCGTATATCGACATCATTCGGTTTTGGCGAAGGGTTGACAAGGAGTGTAACCGCTGCGTGGCTAATCGTGCCTTTCGAGCGATCGCCCCTTTCAGTACAGAAAAGCTCGATGGCATTATCACGAGCATCGGAGATACGGCCGACAGCATGAGTCGTCTTATTCCTGCCGTTCAGGAACGCCTAGACAGAGGAGAGCGGGAAAATGCAGCCGAGGAGCGTCGGCTTGCCGGTATCGCGCGAGAAGAACAAGCAGCACTTATCCAAATGTATGCGGAAGAGATGGAGAAACGGAAAGAAGAAAGGAGACTACAAAGGCAGGAAGAGGTACGAAAGTGGTTGCGAGATGGGACTATGCCACTCAATGGGAGCAACTTTCGCCACCGTGACAGCAAGCTGGCGCAGCGAAGCCCAGGCACTTGTGACTGGGTATTTGAGCATGCGACTTTGAAAGATTGGATGGACAAAGATAGCCCAGCCTCTCAAGTATGGGTGAAGGCATCTCCCGGAGCTGGAAAGACTGTATTGACTGCGTCTGCTGTTGAAAAGCTGGAAGCGACCAGCGCTGAAAACGCTGCCGTCATATACCATTACTTTACTTTTGATGAAGAATTTCCAGCCTTATTGGTCTATCGCTGCCTTGCAGAGCAGCTTGTCAACCGACTGGGAAAACAGACCGGCGACGTGCCAAAGGATATCCACAAATTTACACAGGAAGGTGCTACAACCGCTAATGTTGAGGACGTCAAGCAAGTGATCAGAATGCTGCTGGAAGAAATGGCCGTTACCTACATATTTATTGACGGGCTTGATGAGGAGTGCGAGACAGAGAATAGAAAGAAAGAGCTTTGCAAGGTGTTGGAATTCTTTGGGGAGCTGAGCCGTGCTATGCCAAGCCGCCTGCGCATTTGGTACAGTTCTCAGCACCGCACCTGTCTCGATGCTGCCCTCAGCAGCCTTCCATCTATTGAGATCACGAAGGACTTGAATAGTCATGACATTGAGCACTATCTACTAGACAAAATCGAGGACCTGAAAAGTCTTGAGTTTGATGCAGGGTACATCAGGTTGATTATTGGTGATCTGCGCGAGAAAGCCGACGGATGCTTTTTGTGGGCATCACTGATGTTAGACTCTATGTCGGACGCAGTGACCCTTCATAAGGTTCAAAGTATCATTGAGGAAGGTCTTCCCGACAGCTACGAAAAGTACTACCAGAGAAAGATGGACAGCATCCGGCCTGGTCTGAAGGAATTCGTTTCGTACGTAACTCTGAACGCCCGCGATGTGGTTTGGAAAACGGCTAACCTGGAACTGCTAGGATTATTCTATCCTGTATCGTGCATGCAAAACGTCCATTACGTCTGGATGAGCTTTGTGAATGTACGGCGATGGTGAAAGGCATTGAAGGACAGAATATTGATAGGAGCCAAAAGATCAAGAAAAGCAAGGTGTTGGAGTTATGCCAACCACTTGTCCAAATCCATGAAAGTGATGGGCCAGCCGGCACCATCTCTATCTGCACGCTGACTCATGGCTCGGTCAAAAACTTTCTGTTGAAGAACCCAGGGATCTTTGCAAACAATTCCAATCCACCAGCATATGCGCTCACAAATGATGTTTTGGCGAATGTATGCCTCAAGTATCTCCTGCAGCCACGGTATCAGCAACTTCTTACCAGGGAGGGCGAAACATTTGTCGATTGTGATGGGGAGGACATTCTTAATCACCATCTTCTCTCTTATGCCGCCAAATACTGGGATAAGCACCTGGATGGCGTCAATTATTCATTGGACTATTGCCAGAAAGCCTCGAACTTTATCCGAAGCCCACAGTTCTTCACATTGCTACAAGTCCAGAGTCTCTTTGTCGACGGTATGTTTGATAAAGCTCCAGACCTTTTGAAGGGCCACGTTAACTAATGAGAGATATAGGTCAATTTCGCTTCTGGTACAGTACTTACCGTCCATGGGCTGGCAGACATATCAAGCGCGTATTTCCTCATTGGTTGGATGATAACTGCAATGAGCCCTTCGCAAAGGACTATGCATCCTTTGTGGGTGAGTGGGGGCCACTATTGGACCGTGAGACAAGCATCACGGGCGCATTCGCAGGCGAAATCGATCGATGCTTTCCTGGGGCCTTGGGACCCAACAACTACCTTCACAAGGGACCCAGCCGTTACCGAAGTCTGATGTTTACGGCAGAGACTGAGCCGATTGAGCCCCCAATTCGGTGCTTTGAAGGGGTTGACGAAACGGGAAGGTATTTGACAGTACTGAACCTGGAAAAGGTGTAAGTGCCACAGCCCCACGTTGTCGTTGTTCATAGCTTATTGTGTTATAATTACGAATAGTAGCGAAGACAGGCTACAAATTTGTTGCGAGCATTGGCATCTAAATGGTCGCAAACCCGAGCTTCAAAGAACTCAAAAGTTGTATGCATCCGCCTCAACCTGGTCTCTTTACGAGTATCCCTTGACGGAGAATGTTCCGGGCCGACCTCGTCTAGTTTCCTTCACTAAAGACTTGAAATTCATGCGCATTGGGTCTCAGCTATTTGTCAAGGGTGTGGATCATGATTATACGTCCCTACCTGTGACTGATCCCGACGAAGATTATTTCGATGAAATGGCCAGCAACAAAAATATGGTTGCTGTGTCAACAAGACGACATATCTCAAAGTCAGATGTGGAAATTCCAGGGGCAGTTACTGGCGATGTGAGAATTGTTGACTATGCGGATATAGCGATTCAAAAGCGAGAAGAAGAGGTAAGCGAGTTGGATCAAAGAAGTACGGCCGCCCCAACTTCAGCTGCCGATACACAGCCAACTACTACCGTTACGAAAAGCAGTGATGACGACAGTGATAGCGGGACCATTGACACCGATATCACATCAGAGTCTTCATTGAAGCTAGAAGACCCAGATGAGTTCCAACCATCGACCGAGAAAGACAAGGCGCTGGAGCTCGCAACAAAGGGGTCGAATTATACAGACGAACTCATGAAAAGCTCTTCCGAGTCTGCCGGAAATTCGGCTTATACCTCCTGGAGCGAGGGATCCACTGATCTTGATGATGAGGTGGAGGACGAAGAGCAATGGAATGATTGGGATCTCGAGAATCTGGAACTGGAAGAGCTCGACATCGAAGAGAAGGGAAGCTTTCTTGGCAGCGACAACGACGGATACAGCAGCGGTGATGAGAGGAAAAATGCTTTGGAGCTACATGATGATCTCGCGAGTGAACTATCGGAGTCAGATAACGCGAGTGACGCATTGGAAAAAAGAAGTGATATGCTACCATCGGACTCTGATGGTAGTGACGTTGAGAGTGTCGGTTCTTCGACGAACTACAGCGTCTCTAGCAGCGAATATGGCTCCGATGATGAAAACCGCGGCATACTCGAAAACATGATGACCGGAAATAAGACCATGAGCACCGAAGGGACTCGTCGCACAAGCATTCGAGTGTACGATGCTAGCAGAAAAGAACGCATCCCCGTATTTCACTTTACCTGCTTTATTAAAGACAGGTTGTTCGACTCACCTCCGGTGTTCCACCCTTCCAAGCCCCTCCTGGTCTGGCCACTGGGAGACAGGGAGATTCTGTTTGCCAATTATGAGAAGAACACGTATTTTACACGCGGGCTATGTCGGTCGGGCTATGGCAGCTGCCACATCTTCATCAAGGCTCACTTCTCGAGTGACGGTCAACACCTGCACCTCGCGGCATTGGAAGCTCGCGAGGCCGCCAAATCAGACAAGGAAGAAGCCTCCGTACTTCTCAGCCTGCAGGTCTCAACACACCGACTATCCGAGCACAAAACTGCTAGTAGCCCGCCTCGAATGATCTTCCGCACCACTGTTGAGCTCGGTAATACCCCTAAGTTGTCCGTGTCCAATCTCCCTCACTTCCTAACATGGAGCGACACACATCTTTTCTTCACAAGCCGCAACAACAAGCTCGATGTCCTTCGAATTCCCCTCTTCCGTCCCCCGGGCGACAACGTGGACCTGAACATCTGCTCCCTACAAGAACCCATATTTTTGCCACGCTCGGTCGAAACACGAAACATGTACTTCTTCCCATCTCAGGAAACAACGAAGAAAACTTCACGGAAGAAGGACACGAAGTCAGCAACACTTATCCTAGGTGCACAGACCTGTCTCCCTAGCCAGGGAATACTTGTACCCCGGCACATGTGTTATCCCCCGATCGCGGTATCTCTGCGTGAGGACAAGGATTTAGTCTGGGCTTGCAAGTCGAATGTTGATGAGGGTAGAAAGATCAACAATGCCTGTGGCAGGTTGAGGGGGAAGTTCGAGTCGTTTGATCACAACGAGGATTGTGATATTATTCCGTATTTGTTTTGATGTGAGCTTCAACTCTGGCTAAACCCTGTATCTGTTGTACCTCTATGGAGAACATCCCACTGCAAAATTCATATGTAAGTCAGAAGACGAATCAGTAATGATAGCGATTAGGGGTCAAGTTAGCAGTCATCGGTGTCTACAACATGTTATGACAGTAGAAATCTTGAGCTACGTCAAAATACCCTATTTGAGCTGAGAAGGAGGACTGTATCTTTTAGAGTGGCGGAATTGAAATCCGCAACCACCGAGTCCAACCTTTCCCCGAATGATGGACATTTCCTTAACTCAGTGCCACCAGGGATTCCCTTCTATCATTGCAAGACCATCCCCGACAGTTCAGTATTAGCAACTAAACTATCAACTGTAAGAGGCTTCTTTCCTCTCATCGGTCCCCAAGGCAACTAAACACCCCCCGGCGTCCAGTATTACTAAGACCTTTTCAAAGTGTCCATTCTCGACTCTTCTTTTTTTTCTCTTGCTGATACTCAAACGATGCGCTAACTACAATGACTGCCTTTGGCCTGCTTGGTAGTGCAAATGCAGCCACTTTTTGCAGCTCAGGTCGCTGGGTCAACCTCGCCTCCATTACCACTCCCCGTCAAGAGCATGGGACCGTCGCCATCGGTAACTCAACTATTGCGATCGTCGGTGGCATCGCCCCCCAAGGCAATAGTACCACCGCAGTCACAACCGACCTAGTCCAGCTCTACGACATCGCTTCCAATACCTGGCGCACTGTATCCCCGGCCCCCTTCAGAGTCAACCACCCCAACCTTGCCTCCGTGGCCCCCAAAAAACTCTACCACCTGGGCGGTCTGATCGATGTACCACCCCAAAAGGCCAGGATCTAGACATCAACTGGATTGCCTCCAAGGACTGCTACGTTTATGACGTTGCAACGGATACTTGGACCCAGATTGCCTCTATGCCCAACGGCACAGAAAGGGGCAGTTCCGTCATCGGTGTTCATAACGAGATGATATATCTCGCCGGAGGAATGACTGTCCTCCAAACTGGATACCAAGACGCCGTCAACTCCGTTATCTCATTCAACACTGCCTCTGGTCTCTGGCAGAGACTTGAGTCCGCTGCGGCTGAATTGCCAGAAAGCCGCCAGCATGCTACTGGAGCGGTCATTGGAGACACTTTCTATGTTATCGGTGGACGCCGATACGGCCAGATGTATCATCGAGACACGGTTTTCGAGCTTGATCTGCAGAATATTGAAGCGGGGTGGAGGACGAGTACTGGCCACATGCCTACCTCCCGCGGAGGCATCTTTGGGGGTGCTGTTGATGGGAAGTTCTATGTTTTCGGTGGTGAAGGAAATCGATATTCCATCACCGGTGTTTACAATCAAACGGAGATATTTGATATTGCTGCGGAGCGATGGGTTGAGTTGTTGCCCATGGCTGTTCCTCGTCATGGTACTCAAGCCGCAGTGGCTGGAGGATGTATCTATATCCCTGGTGGCGGCCTCCAGCAGGATGGCAAGGAGGTCATAGTGGGTGGAAAGACAACTTACCATAATACTACCTCTCACTTTGATGCTTACTGTCCTTGAGCATTGGAAGTGTAGAGCGGCGTGAGGGGTATAGAGAAACTGGCTGTTGAAAGTTGAGCCACCTTTTGTCACAGTCATACAAATTGCAATGATATAATGATGTCTTATATTCTCATTTATGATTGCTTTGACGCACGGCATCAGTCTTCCAGAAATTCTCTGGTTATTCCGTGAAGCATCGAAGCCTGGGCAGGGCTTCTGTAGGTTGGCTAAAATGTGGTAGTGCACTAGAAATTCTGATCAGGTTGTATGTCCGTCCGCCTGTTGATCCAATGTCTCTGGTTGGATCTCTATCACCACACTGCATGAAAAGAGCTTGAGAAGGAGGTTACAGTCATGTGACCTGGTCTTGAGGTATGGACCCCACTTCCGCATAAGTAAAACCAGCTGAATACCCCGCCCAAATGAAGGATGGCCATGATAGCGTATTAAGCGCATCGGGTTGGTTTCAAGTCGAGATGGCCTCAAAAGCAACGATTCTTAGAGGTAACACCTGTTCGGTATGTCAGGCTGTTCTCTGTCCTGAACCTGGCTACAATTTTGGACCTGATCCAAAGTTATCATACACTACCCCAGCCGGCCAAACCCTTGTCGCCTTTCGAAATGCTTCTCAGGAAGATTGCGTTATTTGCTCAACTATCTTCAACATGTCTGAGCAGCATCGATTGGCATGGTCGGATACCTCGTCGAAATACTGGCAGCCATTGCAATATCGCGTACAAAAATATGCAGGCGAGGAGGGTATCGTGAGACTGAACGTCATATTTAGCGACCCACTGAGAGGTAGTGCAAATGACGTTCGATTTCGCCTGATTCCTATCGACAGTAAGCCTCGTTTGCTCCTACAAAAAGTTTATACTCTGTATCTATGCTGATTGATTTGAAGATGATGAATATCGGTCTTACTTTAGAGCGTGCAATATGGAATCTGATACATCGTCTGCAACCACATTAGCAACAGCAAAGGAATGGTTTCTTCACTGTCATTCTGAGCACAAACTATGCCACAAGCTATCAACTTTTGACTCGGCCAGGCTTCCTACTCGGCTTATTGATATCGGGCACGACGGAGATACTAATTGGTTTCTCCGCATTATGCAGGAACAAAGTAGTTTGTCAACACGCTTATCTTATATGACACTCAGTTACCGCTGGGGATCTGATGCGAATTTCACGCTTCTTTCTTCAAATATAGCACAATTTGAGCAAGGCGCACCAATCTGCGACCTTCCTCAACTGTTCAGAGATTTTATAACGGTAGCTCGGACTTTTCGCATCAGATATGTCTGGATTGATGCCCTGTGCATCATACAAGACTCGATCGATGATTGGGAGGCTGAAGCACCAAATATGAGACACGTCTACGCAAACTCCGCATGCAATATCGCGGCGTCGGTTTCCAAAAGCCCAGAAGAAAGCATGTTCCGTTCCAGGGAGCCCGACAAAATTCGACCTCGTATGGTTTGGAGTTCTTTATCCTCTGATCGACCATCCTTCCACTATATCTTTGAGAAGAGATACTGGGATAGACAAATTTCCAACGGACCCTTACATAAACGAGGGTGGGTATTTCAAGAAAGGTTCCTGGCTCCTCGAGTACTTTATTTTGGAGAAGACCAAATTCTGTGGGAATGCCTCAGTGAACATAAGTGCGAATGTTTCCCTTGTGGTATTCCAGCTCATTCATCGGACAAAAACATGGATGCGCTTTTTGATTATATGCCCACGATGGATGGCGTAGATCCACAGAGCCGAGAGCCCATGTCACTGGAAGGATTCAACTTGTGGAATGATCTTGTTCAAAGATACTCTTGCTGTGACTTGACAAACCCTTCGGACAAAATGATTGCTATAGCCGGCATCGCCGAACTTTTTCAGGATATCACTGGTGACGAATATGTAGCCGGCTGGTGGAAATCACGCCTTCTTGAATCACTGGATTGGCGTGTCTTTGAGCCCCAGGAACGGCGGAGTGCGTGCTATAGAGCACCATCCTGGTCCTGGGGTTCAGTTGATGGACCGGTCACACCGTCTGGTTTATCTGCTTCTGCCGAATTCCTTGTCAGTATCGTGGACTTTCATGTGGCCACAGGAAGCTCAGGTACTACAGACAATGTCTTGAAGGGGTACCTCGAGCTCAGGGGCACTGTTCTCGTAGGGGTCTGCCGCAATCTCAGCAATGGAAATCGCGCTATAGATATTGAGGGTCGGCAGCTTCCTGTCTGGATTTACCCAGATTCTTCGGACACTCAATTTCAGGAGGGCAAGAAGGTCATCTGTATTCCATTGAAAAAAGACTCCTCATGGGACGCTAGTGGCGAGGCAAGATCCCACATCACTTTCATTTTAGCCGAGGAAGTAGATCAGCAACAAAATTCCAGTATTGTCTATCGACGTCTTGGAATCTTCACTCTCAATACGCAAGAAGATGTGGAATATATCTGCGCAATTTGCGATACAAAGGCTATCGTTATGATATAATGACTTTGGAATTAAAGGATACTAGATCCATTACGCGGCCGCGGTGGAGATAGTAATCAGGTCGTATGCCTGCCGCGCTGTTGACCCAGTCTTTCTGGTCGGATCTTTATGAATGATCTATCACCCTACTCTGCATAATACGAAATTGGACACAGGGAGAATTACCACCCACGGTGAACAACCCTCCGTGGTATTAGAGTACGCGTTCGGAAACCAGCTATGCTGGGCGGGTTCTGGCCGCCTGGGTCGTAAAAACCCTCGCTCCCACGTTGGAGCTAGGGCTTTAGAATACAGGCATTGCTCCAATTATTGTACTTATCATATTGGAGAATAAAGCTGCGTAGAACTAATTTATTGACCCGAAGAAACATATGGGTACGAGAGAAAAACTGTTGGCGACTGTGGTCAATCAATGCTGAACAAACAAACAGGGAAAAGGAAGAGACAATCAATACCCATGGTCACGACATCCATTTCTGATGAATCTGTTGGTATTCCAATGCTTGCTGGCTCCGAGTTTTGCCCCCCACCACTGTTCCGTGGCACTTCTCTGTGTGGCTCAGAATACACACACACACATAGAGAGAGAGAGAGTGAGAGCCCATTGAGATATTTGATTTCATTCATTCCATCTCATTGGCCGAGTGCGCTTTATGTCGAATACTCTTGAGGCGCGCTGTACAGCAAGCAACGAAAGCAACGAAATGAACGAACGAATGGAGCAAAAGAGTGAGTTGAATTGAGCTATCTAGGAGAGCGAAACAAAGCAACGCGTAGAGGTGCTTTGTGTGGGAGGTCTAAGCGCAGCACGTGACTAGCCTACATAAATGCCTCATCAAATACTACCAGTGTCAATATCTGTATCAATTTTAGGAGAGGGAGGGGGGCCATCGTGACAGCGCAAGGGTGTTTCCGATAATCCGATAATCCGGGAATCCGATGGGTGTACCCACAACGCCTACAGAACCCCAGAAGATACAAGAGGTGATAAAAGGAGGTATTCGCCACGAGCGTTCCAGTAAAGTACAGAGCAAAACAACAATTCATTTCATGATCTTTAAACCATCACCTGAAATTCATCCAATTATCAATATGGTCGGCTTTGACATGCGTGGTTTGACACCGGCTCCGGTAACTCCCTTCACGCCGGACGGTGCAGTAGACTACGAAGCTATACACCGGCTTGGTTCCTGGCTTGGAGGCATTGAAGGCGTCAAAGGACTGGTTGTGCTTGGCCACGCTGGCGAGGGCACCTTTCTCACCACCGAAGAGCAAATCTCCGTCATCAAGGCTTTTGTGAGGTCGGTGGACAACAAAATCCCAATCATCGCTGGAATCACTGGCGAGGGCACCGAAGTGGCCGCGTTAGAAGCAAAGCGTGCCAAAGAAGCTGGCGCGGCTGCTGGCTTGCTATACCCATCTCATGGCTGGCTGCGCTTCGGATATCAGCCCGGGGCTCCTCAAGATCGGTACCGCCGTGTATATGAGGTGTCCGGCTTGCCCTTGATCCTTTTCCAGTATCCGGACAACACGAAGGCGACCTACAGTTTACAGACTATGCTTGATATTGCTGCTCAACCCGGCTGTTTTGCCATGAAGAACGGTGTGCGCAACATGCGCAGATGGGATACGGAAATTCCTGTTATTCGGGCCCAACGCCCCGACCTACAAATTCTCACTTGTCATGATGAATACCTGTTGCACACTTCCTTCGACGTCGATGGCTTTTTGGTTGGCTACGGGAACATCGCCCCCGAGCCTCTTATCGAGTTGATAAAGGCTGGTAAGGCCAAGGATTACAAAAGGGCACGAGCTATCCATGACCAACTCCTGCCGGTCACGAAGAGTGTGTATCATCGAGGATCTCATATGGAGGGTACGGTCGCGCTGAAACATGCTCTTGTTGCTCGGGGGATCCTGACTCACGCCACTGTTCGTTCGCCTTTGTTGCCGCTCGAGGAGGGTGCAGAACAAGAAATTCATGCTGCCATCAGTGCTGCATCCCTCAGCAAGGTGGTTCTGTAAAGAGAAATGTCAAAGTAAGGATCTGTATATGATTGTGTTAAGCTAGAAGGTAGATGTGAGGGAAGATCACATCCAATAGCCAATGATAAATTTATGCGGTTTTTGTAACAATGGTGGCCTTATACAGTATAAAGTAGAATCGTAAGGCAACCTAGTGCACTCAACGATGATGCAAGAAGATTGTCTGGATTAACCCTGGCTCGGATTTGGATGTCCTCGTATTCTGCACAGACTACTGACCTTGCGATCTCGGACTTCCGGCTATGCTCGGCTATCCAGCCCGCATTCTACATTCTATTTGGTCTGCAAATCCGGCATTTCCGTCCCCCTCCTCCCCCTCTCTCTCCACTAAGCAGCACCTGAAAGCATCATGACATCCACCCATTCACCACAAGGCCCTTTGCTGGCGCCAGATCCGTCCAGAGCGCCTCCAGGGAAGCGCCCCTTGCTGACGACCGGTGACGATGCGGATGATGAGAATCGCCGGAAAGACCCAAAAATCACTCGGGCTTGTGATACCTGCAAAAGAAAGAAAGTCCGATGCGATGGTACACTTCCATGCAGGAATTGTGCGAAACGAAAGCTCCATTGTTTCTATAATGCCAAATACAACAGGGGTCGGCCCCCAACCCCACCACCTTCTATGACGATCAGTGAGCACCAAGCCAGACGGCAAAGTTATCCTCCAGAGCAGAATCCCAATAGACAGAATACGGAACCAGTCACGCATCTAGTCCCCGAGTCTCAAAATAACCCTCGGGATTCACCAGAGGTCGAACTTGAGGGGCAATATTCCGATCCTACATCAGGATTGAACTTCTTGCACAGAGCATGGAAGAAATTGTCGACACAAAACGATGATTCAGCATTATATCATTTGAACAACGCAGGAAGAGACCAACTGCTCACTTCAGCTGGAGATCCCCCATTTCATGTTGATGATGCAGCTCTAGATGATGTGATTCCAGTCGCCTCCGCGGCGAGGGAATTGCAAGAGTTCTACTTCGAAACGTGTGTGGTGACGTATCGTATGTTCCATCGGCAACTCGTAGAAGGTTGGATGGAGATTCTCTTGAAAAATCGACAAGAACGACGGCCAATTACCCATTCGCTCGGAAATTCTAGAACTGCGATACTGCTCACCATAATGGCTATCGCCTCTTTACGCCGCGATAAAGTCAACGGGAAAGGGCCCCAAGACGACAACATGAATGCCTTATGCAGAAGTGATCGGTTGTTCAGTGCGGGCATGAAACTGACTGAGACGGAGATGGGGTTTCCAAAAGTTGAATCCGTCCAGGCACGGCTCATCCAAGTTCTCTACCTTCTGCAAACAGCTCGCATGAACAAAGCCTGGTATGTATTTGGAAATGCCTTTCAGGTAACACTTTCCCTCGGCATGCACCGGTGTCGAGACCAGAGGAGAAATTTCCCTTTCCCGGGACGGCCCCATAATTACATTATCTCAGAATGCTACAAACGCACGTTTTGGGTCGCTTACATTGTTGACACCTATTTGAGCGTTGTGTTCGGCCGGCCTCGACTTTACCAAGACGAGAATATTGACCAGGATTTCCCTAGCATGGTCAATGACGAGGACATGAAACCGCAAGGGCCTTGCAACTCAGACAACCCTGGAGATTGCTATATTGATGCTTTGATACATCATGCCAAGTATATTGTAATGCCTCTCCATCGTGATGATCGCATACTTACCACATTTCAGGATTGCGCAGATCATAGGAAAAATATCACGAGAAGTATACTCGATCAGCAATTTGCCCAACGAAGATCGTCTAGCAGCTGTGCAGCGGTTGTGTCATGATCTGCATGTATGGTGGGCCAGCCTGCCGCCACATTTGGGTACAGTAAAACCCTCCACCTTGATATCCAGTTTCCGGCGCCAGGCCATTGCTATGCGGCTGGCATATTATCATGCTCTCATGCATGCCAATCGACCTTTCCTTTTGAGTGAAGGAGCATACGAGGAAGTTAAAGAATGCATAACTGCTGCCCGGAACAGTCTAGAACTTCTCAATAGAATGGCTAAAGACAGTACATTATTTCATTCTTTCTGGTGGACATATTATGTTATTTTTTGTGCATTGTCTGTTGTCTATGTCTGGGAGATTCAGCGAACTACCCGATGCATATATGGAAATGATGATCAGACATCGAGCAAGCTCTTTGATCTCGCAGAGGAGTGCCACGGTCATCTCAAGAGAGCTTCGACAAGTCTATCACAGAACCAACGATACAGCATTATACTAGATGAACTGCGATCCGAAGCACAGAGATGCCGAGCTGCGATGGAAAGCTTGCAAAGTCAACGTCCAGATACTATTCACGGCGCTGAAGGCCATGTTGCAGATATTAGCCTTTCATTTCCGCAGGACCCGGAAAGCTGCCTCAACACAGCCTTTCTCCAGGAAGGAGCCATGCCCGGGGTGTTAGAGAACCTTCAGTTTAGTGATTGGCAGATGCTTGACTCTTCGGTACGTGTATTGTTACAACTACATTACAGCATGCTAAGTCCACTTAAAGGCCTTCTTGCCCTTATCGGACTCAAATTACGTCTCTCCCACAGACCTTCCTGGAGTTCAATGAGTTTGATCGTCTCTGGTGGCTAGTGGAACTCTTACTAAAATGCCTTCCCCGCTTTTTGAACGCGAGCTACATCGGTGGGAATACCGGATATCTCGGAAAACAAGGCTCACAGCACCGAGAATCCGGAGTTGCCAAGGCTGCTCCGTGAACGGCGCCAATTTTGCTTGCTTCCCCGGATCTGCTTTTCCTGCATCTACCCCGTGGGGGTGCCAAGAGCTCTGTTAGCCCAGACCCATAAGATCATCTCGATTCCTGCTGTTAATTGTCCTAACTTGCGCCCCCAAGACCAACTCCGTCAATATGACTGATAAGGATACTGCCGTGATGCACCTAGAGGACCTCCCAGGTCATGGAGCCTCTGCCGACGATTTAGAGTTTCTGTCGAATTTTCCACCCGAGGCAAAGAAGAAGGTTCTCAGAAAGGTAACTGTATTGGTATGACGCGCGTGTGTGGAGCTTACTGACAATATCATTATAGGTTGACGTATGGTGTCTATCTCCATTCCTTCAACGAATGAGCTGCTGAGTTACAAACCAGATGCGACTCGTACCAATGTTTGTCCTTTTGTACTTGGTTGCATATATAGACAAAACCAATATCGGTATGTAACACCCCCAAAATTTATGCGTTCTGGTTTTTTACACTGAACAGGAAATGCCAAAATCGAGGGTTTACTTCCAAGTCTACACATGAGCGGCATACAATACAATATTGCCTTGTCTATCTTTTTCATACCTTATGTTCTAGCTGGTACGAGTCTCCCATGTGCGAACAGCAAACAAACACTAACGTGGCCAAAGAGGTACCAAGCAACATAATACTTAACCGACTCAAGAGACCGTCACAGTATTTAGGGCTCCTAATATTCTGCTGGGGTGTGATCATGCTTTGCACGGGCTTTGTTCGCAATTTTGCCGGCCTTGTGGTGATTCGATTCCTTCTGGGTCTTTTCGAGTAAGGTCCTAGGCACATGGAACACTTTTCGCAGTACTGACAAGTCACATAGGGCTGGATTTCTGCCAGGTGCTGTGCTAATCATATCGAAATGGTATCTTCCAAACGAAACACAGACTCGCATCGCTATTCTCTACACATCTGCTGCTTCTGGTGGAGCCTTTTCCGGTCTCCTGGCATATGCTATCGCCAAAATGGACGGAATAGCAGGCTACGAAGGTTGGCGCTGGGTAGGCCATTTCTTTAAATTCTTCTGTGATCCCACTTACTGATATCCATACAAGATCTTCATCATCGAGGGTCTTGTGACAGTTTTCATGGCCGTTCTCTGCTACCTGCTCCTTCTGGATTCCCCATCTTTATCCCCCAACTGGCTTTCACAAGACGAGATTCGATACCTCGAGGTACGACAGCTCGTTTCCAATAATCATAGTGGTCACCATGAAGGCTTCAACAAGAAGATAATCTTCAGCGTCCTGACCGATTGGAAAATCTATCTCCTCATACTTGGTAATTGGTCCAATGCCGTCCCCAACTACGCACTCAAATTCAGTATGCCTGAAATCATCAAATCAATGGGGTATAAGTCAGCTACGGCCCAGCTTATGACAATTCCGCCTTATACAGTCGGCGCGATATCAGCTTACGGCTTCTCCGTGTTCGCTGATCGCTTTTCATGGCGAATGCCATTTATCGTCATCCCCCAGTGCTCGCTCATAGCTTCATTTGGCATTCTGTTTTCGAAAGCCGCCAGCATCGAGAATAATATAGCACTATGCTACTTTGCGATTTGCCTTGCTTGCTTTGGAATGTATCCCATCCTTCCTGGTGTTAATGCCTGGAATGTGTGCAACATTGTTAATCCGCACAAGCGTGCTGTGGCTATTGGTTATCTTATCTGCGTTGGGAATGCGGGTGGTATCATTGGCAGTTATATTTATAAATCCGATGAAAAACCCCGATACCCTACTGGCTATGGCACCTCTCTAGCATTCGCTGCTGCTGGACTCGTGGCTGCCTTGAGTTTGGAGTTCTGTTTATGGAGCGCTAATAAGGGCAAGGCTCGGTTGACTCTGTCTGAGATTGAGGAACTGTATACTGAGGAGCAGCTTCGCGATATGGAAGAGAAGAGTCCTCTTTTCAAGTATACTCTGTGAAGTTTATCTGTTATATTTGCATTTATGAATAGAGTTGGGAGAAAGAGACAGTACAATGTCAAACCATGGATGCCCTCGTCACAGCTCTGGGATGTGTGTCATCCGAGCCCGAAAGTCCAATCTTGGCCCTTCCTGATCTCTAAGGCTGTCTGCACCCACCGAATAAAATTTCCTGGGGATTTTTGACCATGATGAGGTCGCAAACATGGACCGTATCCGACCCAATTCACGAAGCTTTCTCATCGGGCGTGGGCAACTATTCCTATGATACTCTAGTATGATGTTGATGTTGGAAGGTCCAACATATTTGACGATTATTTTTGGCTAGGTAAGCAGCCAATGCAGGCAAACCTACCAGACAGTATAAATTTGCATCTAGTCTGGCATAAGTCTCGCTTGATGCGCCTTAGATCTATATCGAGGTACCCCATTGAAATAGAGTTCTGGAAAGTATATCATGCTGATGCCATAGATTCTTTCATTTTACTGTTCAACTACTTGGATGTGACGCCCTAATGCTATAACTTCTGTCAACTGAGGGAGCTATACGGGTGCATTTTGGGCTTCGTTTTCACCCTAGCGACCAAGAAGGCGATCTCAGGCCCATCGACTCTTACCAGCAGGGGCAAGATGGATGTTGTGTGTCATAATCAGCGGCAAAAATATGATTTTAACAGCGCGCCAAATGCTATGACTGCGTTATATGTATCCGAATGTCGCTTTTCGAGGTGGAATGTAATCTATGCCCTTCCACTTAAGTATCATTGGAAGGGTTACAAATTTACATACTTCTTCTTTTGTTTGGAGAGGGGAATTTTGGCTTAAACTCAACGAAACGACTTACATTTATAATTTCGTATCGCGTTCGTCAAATAGGCGCTATACATGCTTCTTCCATAAAAGTGTGTCGTCATAATATGCAAATAAAGTGTTATTCACAGGGCATTGCTCTTAACTTCATATGGTACAATATAATCATATAAGGTTTTTATGGATACGAGTACGACGTGGCGCACCCGCTGATGCCGCTATGCTGGAAACTCTTCTTCTCGGATAATTCGTTCGGGCCAGTGGCCTACAACTATATCTGGAATAATGAACTGGACAAATTCTGGGTTAACAATTTATCTAGAAAATCATGCCCTGCCGTAGCATTCCCCTTCGCACTTATGAACCACGCCTTGTCAGGTTAACATTGAATCGCAACGATCACAAACGTCTTTTGCGAGCATGGCATGGCCTCGTCCAGGCTCCATAAGTGTTTATTCAGTACTTGGAGTGACGATAGTCGCGTCTGGGATCCTTTCTTACTACGTTAGACGCGCCTTGAAGCGTCATGAACAGTTTCTTCAACGAGGGACAAGAACAATAGTGAACTGCCAGCCTCCCAACCGCCGACTAGAGTATATCTTCCATATGCTCCAATATCTTGATTTAACACTGACTGTCTTTAGCGTCGTCGCAGTGCATGGGTTAGGCGCGCACCCCGAATTTACTTGGACGACGAGAGGACCAAACCAGTCTCGCGTAAACTGGCTAACGGACCTTTTCCCACGAGACTTCAGCAAAGCACGGGTCATGACATTTGGCCATAACTCTGACTGGTTTGTCCGGGCGAGCAACAACACACCGTTTGAAAATGCCAAAATACTTTTACGAGCAGTAAACGAGGAAAGACGTGAACACCACAAGGTCAGTCGTCAGCTAATAGAGATAACCATAAGGAACGCCTCAAAAGTAACCCCCTTGGCTTATACCGCAGTGTCCCATCATTTTCATCGGCCATAGCTTTGGTGGCATTATTATCAAAGAGGTAAGATCACCATGATCTGTCTAAAGTGACCTGACTGATCTGGTTCATCAAGGCAATATGCTTGGCGGAAACAGATAAACAGTATAGGGACATATTGGATGATACAATCGGTATCATCTTTCTTGGAACGCCCCATCAAGGGTCCAATGTTTCGCAATTTGGAGCCTTCATAGCACGCTTGACATGGGTATTTGGATCAAGCGCAATACTACTGAAAGGTCTCTACAGGGATAACCCTCATCTATCCGACTTGCAAGAACGATTCATGAGCGTTGTCAGGAGAAGAAAAGACATTAAGCTCGTCACGATGTATGAGAAGCACCATACGTACTTTGCTCAACTTATTTATCTAGGCTTTGTGAGTACGATCACTACACGCTCTACATACCACGAATACTTACAAAAAATGAAAAAGATTGTCGAGAGGAATGCTGCAGTGCTTGATATGGCCGAAAACATTGCAGTTGAGAAAGATCATATGGGGCTGAACAAATGTGCCTCACCAGATGATCCGGCATATGACGCAATTTGTCAAGGAATCAATAAAATACGGGACCATGCAGAGAGCAGAGGCTGGAAGAAAAAATATTTAAACTGGTCCGAGAGCCCAAGGCTCTAGCTTACAAGTTGTGAGGGACCACAATTGCTGTGGTACTGCTGCAAGAATAGACCTCGGCATGCTCCGACTCAGGTTCCAAGGATCGGAACTCACAACTCGAATCCGAGTCAGATCGTGATTCAATCATGTTCGAGTCATGCTTAAACCTGACAGTATCTGGGATTGCGTCATTCTACCACGATGTTGTGTATTTTGGTGGTACGGCACCCACCTCAATCATTAAGATGGCGGCTGCGCGAGACAATATCCTCAGACAGGGACCTCACAGGAAAAGGGCCTGCTTCTGATCCTATGCTCAATAGTCGCCGAATCGGACTTAATAATCTATTTAGGCAACTTTTTGCTAATTGTGATGTTCTTATGCCATTATTGTAACCTTGCATCACAGTCATTAGGGGTCGCCCCGGATTTCTAGGCGATGAGAGAACACAATCAAGTTATCAACTGTGCGAGCTCAGTAGCTTGTAGTGCGCGAATCGCTCCCGTTTGAATTGCAATGTCGCCAGAAGATTATTGATAAATTGGATGAACCCAAGAAATGCAACTAGCAGAAGTATAATGAGCGGGCCAATGATTGAAAAGACGGTAAAACCATACGAAGCATTTTGAAATGCAACATTGCCCCCCAGCTTGGTAGCCAGCCCAACCTGCATTGCCGTCAACACTAATGCGACATAAACAATCGTTGCAGTAAGGGGTGTTAGGTAATCATAGAACAACTCAGTATATGTTTGATATGTGAAGTGATAACCTCGTAGAATACTGCCATGACGAAACATGTAAATTTTGTTGAGTCGTGACAGCCTAAGTTCGCCAAACAAGTAACGTGCATTGACATTTCCAGGGTTAAAAGCTCTATTCTCCAAGAGCTCCTTGACCAATTTAACCCACATTTCCCACGTCACGTTGAGTGGTAATAGGCGTTGGTCCTGGGCGATAGCAAAATCACTTTCTCGCTCAATTAGAGCAATATAAGAATATAAAAGTCCTAGGCCACATTCGTATAGATGTCTTTGCTGACAAACCCCGTCCCCCCTTTCTGCCTGACAGTAAATGTAGTTGGACATGCAGGGACAAGGTTCTTTGCAGATCAGGTAAGATTTCCAAAATTGATGGCTTAGGAGGTATCGCGGGAGCGGCTTCAGATGGATACGCCGTGAAGGTTCCCAGACCATGTGCATGTCAATCCTCTCATCTGGCACAATTTGCCGAGAGGTTGCGGTTTGATAGTTCAAAGGTCTGGGTGGCATAGGTCGGCCAGCCAACCACAGGTATTTGTGAATACGGTTAAGACATTCGACAGAGAGATCATTCTGTAAAAAGTGGGAAGTATCCGTAGTGGGACTGTAGGGGGTATAATACTCGTCGCGAATTGCAGCAGGAGTGTAGAAAGTACTTGGAATAGAGACGTCGACGCTGAATGGTGGCTTTCTGGGCATGCTTATACAAGAGACGGTAGTGATCCGAGTTGATATTAGGTATTAAGTCGATAGATTGGAGAGTGACAGAACCACAGCTAGGGACGGGACTAGGTACATATGTTGCTTAGCTACCTTCAAAAGCCAAGATTAGAGGCTTGATTTGTTTCTCACTTGAACAGAGCCACTCCGAGGAGCGCCATCATCCGGGGTTGGCTGGAATCTTCGAGACCGGCCGAGAGTCTGGCGTTGGCAGGGTTAATGCACTAATACTAAGGTTTCGAGTGGACCAAGGGAATGATCGGCGACCCAAGGTTTACGTTTGTCATCTGCTCTTACCATGTCATTATCGATTAATCTATAATTACCTCTCTGTTAATTCTTCCAATCATCTAATTCTCTTGATTTATAATTAGTGCAAAAGGGTTATATTAACCGTTCAATTTGACTAAACGGAGTATTATATACTACGGTATAGAAAGGGTCTCCATTACAGCTGGACATGATAAAACAATATATAATGTGGAAATATGAATGTTTAAGCTCCATCCAAGCATATAAGCCAGCTCTACACTGTAACTGACACATACGACCATAGGGTGTGGAAAATAGGGCTTCCCGTCCGCTCAGCCGTACTCAAGCCACACGCCGGGAGGTTAGTAGTTGGGTGGGTGACCACCAGCGAATCCCTTCTGTTGTATGTTTTTCTCTTTTTTTATTTTTTTTTATTTCAAATATCTCTTGCATTCACTTCGTTTTTACCGTTGATCGTACATATATTTACCCATTTCTCTGAATCCAAATACAAAATGCGACAATTGCTGCAGTCAACTTCATTGGGTGTGGACTGCAAAAATCCGTCGGGTAAGGTCACGGCTACCGAGCATCCTTCATCACCTCCAAGCCTAGCGCATTGCCAGGGGACCAATTGTGTGATAAAATAAACATTGCGTAAACCCTCTGAGAAGGTATCTTTTTAGAAAAACATGCCCACAAGCATGCATCCTCAAGCTCAGTTTTGCAGATCTGAATACTCTTTCTACATCCTGATGGAGTATAGAAGGAGTTCTACAAGTATTGGCTACGCACGAGCAGCTGATACCCAGATATAACAGCTTGCTGTAGAATAACGTGTTCAAGTAGTAGATCCAAGATTTCTAAACCCACAGCAATCAGACACGTGGACCGGATAGATATTGGCTGCGTAATTTCAAGATAATATAGTTAATTAGAAATACAAAGAAAGTCTTTAGGACTAAGGCTAGAAGATATATAGATAAATTACTAGTATAAAGCTATACATCTCCACAGATTCTAAGATGGGGCTTTTAAATAAATAAAATACAAAGTCTAATCTTTAATCATTCTAACAACTTATATCTCAAATTTACTGGCACCTAAGACCTAGATACCACTGTGTCGGGCTCAGCGCACTCTGATGAAAAGAAAGAACTGCCCCGGACGGGATTTGAATATCCTCAGACTTCGAAGGAACTTCGCTCGGCCATAGTTCGATTAGCTATTGTTGTGCCTACGCTGACTGTCTGAATTTACCTTTACCGGTAGATTATATATATTGAGATTTATAGGACCTTACAATGAATCTTTCATTTGGGCTTCATCTTTACCATTAGAATCTGGGAGAAGACTCAGAACACGGGATTCGTCATATTAAGTCCAGAGTATGATGTGATAAGAGTTTGAAGGATCACTTCAATGTCTCCCCACGCGGATGTAACAGCAGCCGCCACAGTATTTGCCTCGTAAAAGTGGTCCGCTACTCCAAATAATTACTCCGAATCTGTTCGCATACTCCCCAAATCCTTCTCCTGTTGGCAAGACCCAGGATATAGCCATAGCTTCTGCCCGTGGACTCACCCTGCTCCCTGCAAGCAAAAAGCAGCCTAGACGTTTTCTCTTCGATGTCCTGCGATTGGAAAACCGGGAGTTCAAGCACCTCCCACAGCCATGGATATGTATCGACTAACTTGGCTTCCCACATGGAGCGCGGAACCCAGGTAGTGTGCATGATTCGCGAGGCAGCCTTGAGAGCCAAAATCGATTCTGGGGGGAGGTGCTTGAAGATCTCGTGTCGCAGTTCATTCGAAAGACGACTGAAAAGATCGTCTTTGTGGAGCTTCGTCTCATTATTAAGGTAGGTCTTCGTGTCTAACAAGCACTTGATGTCGTTGATCTCTGATTCAAGCTCCGGTATGTCGACTGGGTTTACTACCAGAATCTGGGCATATTAAACTTCTAACCCGCATTGTTTGCTCTCAGCATATTACTTACCTCCTGCCCTCGGAGAGTCTCCCACACCTGCTCTACGGGCGGGTCTGGTTCGCCATAGTCAAGTTGCAACCGGACGTACCGGCCACCGTTGGCCTGTTCGAAAACCTGATATAGATTATTTCCCTGAATTTCACCTGGCTGCCTCAGGGAGATGCATCTCTTCAGAACCTCGTAGCAAACTGAGTGAAACGGAAACACATGTGGTTCGCCTATTTCGGCAAAGTCGTGATATCTATGTAAAGGTTAGCGGGTAAACTGAAAGAGGAGACGCAATGCATACGCAACCATGGACACAACCTCGTTCTTCGGGTATGGGATGTTCATATCTGGCAAGGCGATGTTACCATTGACGGGTAATTCTAGTGTCACGGAGGGCCACGCATTCAGAGCAACGTACGATTCCCAGCAACGACCTCAATCCCCCCCTAGCAGGACCTCCAGCTTCAGCAAATTATACTGCCGGCTTGAATACTGTCAAAGGGATCGATTAGCTTACATAGTCAAAGTACCGGCCAGGTCCCGTCAGAAACGACCTAGAAAATCAGGCCATTTAGTTTTGTAAGACGTTAACGGCGAGTCACTACGAACTTGTCACTTCCAGTAGCATTGGGATTTATTCCTAGGGCACGTAGTTTGTCGAGCCACTCGAGGTTGCAGTGCTCGAGGATGTCGAAACGATACGCCGTCTCATCGGTTCCTTCGCAGTCCATGTCGACTTGGCTGGAAAATGGACCTCCGCAGATAGCGCAAAAAATCGCCCAGCCACCCATTTTGATCGCTGTGCACGTATGATATAGTGTTGTGAGACAGAGGAAAGGATAGCACGTCTTATATGATTTGTAGTCAGTTGGAGATTGGTGCCTGGTGCCTGGCGCGTGTGCCCGGTGGTGAGAGTTGCCACCATGCCTAAGCGGGACTAACCTACACTTCATGCCAAGCCACGCTTGCCTTTGGCTTCTACGAGCGGTACTTTAGGATGATAGGATCGACAAGGAGAGACATAGCCGAAGCTTTACCATTCATGCTATGGGATGGCATGATTGGCGTTGTATGCTGCGTGTAGAGGCAAATTTGTGTGTCAGGTCTTAGGAGGTGGCGATGGAATCAACATACATGGCCGTGACGCTAAGACATTGCAAATTGAACAGGAGTTATCACACGCCATGCACGAACTACGTGCATGAAACTGATGAGTGCATTGCATTACTGCCAGTCGCTCAATATCGCTGTAGACCAGATAATTAAACTATCATAACCCGCCTCAGTTAAAGCCGACGGACGGGGTTATCACTACATACTGCCGATGTTTTATTAGATCCTAAGGAACGACCAGTTACAGCGTCATTACAAAAAGCAGATCCCTGCGCAAGCTGCTTTCCTCAACGCTTCAGACTTGTTTCCTCTCCCCCCAACAGGCCCATCCGCTGTATGATTTCCAAATATAATCGTGCTAGCATGTAATGTTCAATTGCTGATGCTGCAGAATGCAATGGGTGTACAGCCTTCAAGAAAGTTCTGTGCTTATATAGTAGCAGATGCCCCCCAGTGGATCATAGAGGCTGACCACACAGTATAGCTTCAGCATCGGCTGAAGACATTCCGCAGTCATTAGAGCTGTATGTCAGATTTTATGCATAATTACCCGATAACTGGTTAGGGTAACTAATCTGGCGGCCTAGTAAGCCGAAATATCTCAGCCACGCCATCGATGCTTCAACCCTTTAGCACAGACAAACAAGGCACCACCATATCCCTTCATCCCTAGCTTCTTAACTATTCACCTGAGTCATTAAGCATGCTATCTTACTAAGAGTAATATCAAAAATAATATTTATATTAAGTATATAATACAGGTCCACATACTCTGTATTTAAAGGTAAACATTACAAAGTAATTATTTTTAATATGATTAAACATTGGAGTAATAAATTTCTAGAATATCCAACATGTTAGATTACGATATTTTGTCTTTTGATTCATCTTTATTACCTGTGATTTTCAATAGTAACTCAGTATATCCAAAATCCTATATTTGAAAAGAGACCTTCTCATTAAAATACGCAATTACTGTCAAATCTGATTATAATTATTATAATATATGATTTAAGAGGATTATAATATATCTGCTTGTCTAGGTTTCCTAATATTTTTGAGAGCTTGTTCTATGCCCAGAAGCAGGCCTCACTGTTGACAGGAATTTCATAGCCAATGAAAAAAAGATTGATTGATAAAAAATTTATTGTTATAGATATTAAAGTTCTTTGATTCTGTGTACAAACAGTGCAGGTGTTATAATAATCTGAACTGTAATATTTAGTAATTTGTTCATGAAATTATTTGATATTTGATATCTGGGCAAGTAAAGCATGATAGACAAGGGTATACTTACTGCAGAAACCGAGGTAGATTATTTTATACTAGCTGATATATTGAAGAACAGAAGAGGAAAAAGGCACATATCACAGATTCCATTACTAGTCACGAAGCCTATATCATGTTTCTTGCGAAATCATAATCTAGCTGGAAGCACATGTGTTTCTTACCCTCGGTAGGGCAGGTTAGCCCATCTAGGGTTTCCTAAAGCAACCAAGAAAGTTCCAGCTCAATGGCTTGGCTTCATCACTATCCTTGTGTCCAGATGGCAAACTAGGTATTTCTCATGCTCCTACGGACTGCATATTTACAAAGCCTTTCGCCTCCTCCACCTCGGAAGCCGGGACGGGGCGGAAAGCCGCCGCCACCACAGCCCTGATTAGGGTCCTCTGTTTCTTCCCCCGACGGAAGCAACGGTTTGCCGTAAAGTGACAACATGAGGTATTTAGTCGGCGGTCTTTCAGATTGTCCTCCCGTTCTTCGTCGGTTTTTATTGCCTGGCTACAGACAACATGGTTTCCAAAGCACTGGCATGTCTTGCGCTCATGGTTGGGGTAATTGCAAACCCGGTTATGACATTGGTCGAGAGAAGCCCATCGAGCAACACATCATGCAACCGTGAATGTCTGGAAACGATGATCACGGAAGTCCTAGATTCAATGGTGACGCACGACCCA